GGTTGATGTAGTGCTGGGAGGTCTGGTTTAGTGATGATGCTCCTTGTTTGTTGTGTGGGTGACTATTTTTGTCAGTTAGGTTGACGGTTGGACAAGATGATCTTTAAGGTCCCTTCCAACCTAGAAGATTCTGTAATTCTGTGTTTTTCACACTTGATCATGTGCTTGGCCACGTGCTCAGTCACCTCTTTCTGCTGGGCTTGAAGAAGTCCATGTGGTTGATCAAGTTTGGCCCCGTCTTCGAGCACCTGTGACGATCACGTGTTTCATTGCACGTTTGACCCTACAGCTCCTCTTCCTGCAGCTCCTTTCTGAAATGAACATTCTTCAATTAGCCTGTGCTAACGTGCTGTTTGTTTTTCCACCCAGCCTTGGCAGTCGGAGGAAGAAGGCTCCTGGCTTCGAGAATATCCAGTCACCTTGATGCAGTTCTTCCGCTATTTGTACCATAACGTGCCAGACCTCGTCTCCTTGTGGATGAGCCCCGAGTTCCTGTGTGCCCTGGCAGCAACGGTGTTCCCTTTCAACATACGACCTTACTCTGAGATGGTAGGAAACCCAACTGGGTGGTTTGGTTTCCCTCTGAATGTTACTTTTGAGGATTTAACGATTCTTGAGGATTTAACAATTCACGGTCCTATAAGGATAAAACGGAAAGAGATTGCTGTAAAGGCTGGATGTTTTGCACTTGGGTTTTGACAGGAGGAGGAGTGTGTGTTCAGCTGAAAGGCAGTTGTTGTGCAGTGACATCTGAAACTGCATTTTAGGGGGAATGTACACTCTTTATTTGTTTTCTAGTGGATCATTATTTTCAATCATATGAACGATGGCAGCTCACATTTACAAAAGCCAAAGAGACTGAGTCAGCCTGTGCTGTCAGCCCTCTGCTCTGGAAGATGTGATAAAATCAAAACCTTCTTCCTCCCACTTCCCATTTCTTCTTTTGTGGCTTAACCACAAAACAGGCTTTTTTTTGTATTACCTGGAACTGAGTTCAAGCCGGGAGAGGGTGTGAGTGTGACTTCGCTTGCATGGCTGCCTGAAGTATTTTTTTGAGCTTAGTGTCATTTACAGATAATACTTTTTCTACAATATCAATAGAAAGGAAACAAACACTTACTGTTAACCAACATCTAAAAGGAGTTTTATTAAGAACATGGAAGGATTCTTAGGCTACAGGTTGGCAAATGCTAGAACCGGGGAGAGTATGACAAAATACTTCAGGAAGTACGTACTGGTGGCATGCCATCTTTTTGTTGCCAATAAAAATGGGAGATAATTTTTAAATATGAGTCTCTCATAAAGATAGTTTATTTTGCTTTTGAGTTAGACTTGCACTTGAAGTAGATGCTAGGAGCACGCAATCTCAAAAAAAGCCACTTAAACTGGGATTGCTGATCAGGCACTCGCCTGTATGGAGTTTTGAGAGTGAGCCTTGTGTCTCTGAGCAGGTTTTACTTTAACTACTAGGTCCCTCAAAACCTTGTGTAGCTGCCTGACAGCTTGAGCTCCTTGCTCTTTGAGGGCTCTCTTGACTCCAGATGGGTTTGCTCCTCCAGCATTTCCCTCTGCCCAGATGTGTGGAAATTATCGATCCCTTGTGAAATAGATGAAGAACAGGCAGGTTCCCCCAACGAAACACTACAACCCAAATTCAGCATTGAGAGAAAATTCTTAACTGATTCTTCAGCCTTTCTGAGATTTTCTGGTTTGAATGGCAGAGTATGTGTCCAGGCTTCTCAATTTTTTGGGAAAACGCTCCCATTGAAGCGAACCAAATGTTCACGTTTGCTTACTTCACATGTAGGCTGATGATGTGATAAGCCTGTTGAGGGGAATCACATTGTCTCCCCTTTAATTTGGAGGAGGACATTACATAAAGACAGTCACGCTTTTGTTTTTGACAGCTTTTATTAGTGTTTGGGCTTTTGTTATGGTCTTGAAGAGCCAGCCCCTCAAAGGCTGTTGTTCCTCAGAAACGGGAAAGCTGTAGGGACCGTTCTGGGTTTTTGGGGGGGATTTGTAAAGACTCAGTCCCTTTTTTGTTTTCTGTCATGTAGAATTTATGGCCTTTCTTAGCTGGCTTCTGTCTTGATTTTATTTTAACTGCTTGTGAACCAAATGTTCAAAACGTTTGCTTACTTCACATGTAGGCTGATGATGTGATAAGCCTGTTGAGGGGAATCACATTGTCTCCCCTTTAATTTGGAGGAGGACATTACATAAAGACAGTCACGCTTTTGTTTTTGACAGCTTTTATTAGTGTTTGGGCTTTTGTTATGGTCTTGAAGAGCCAGCCCCTCAAAGGCTGTTGTTCCTCAGAAACGGGAAAGCTGTAGGGACCGTTCTGGGTTTTTGGGGGGGATTTGTAAAGACTCAGTCCCTTTTTTGTTTTCTGTCATGTAGAATTTATGGCCTTTCTTAGCTGGCTTCTGTCTTGATTTTATTTTAACTGCTTGAATTAATAATTTTTTAAAACTTATCTTCTTTGCAATGAGAAAATTTATTTTTGCGAAGTATCTAGAAATAGTCCAAGTACTTCTTGTTGGTACATGAAAGTGAAATGTGACCTCTAGCTCACCTAGGAATTAGTAACTTTTTCAAAACTTTTCTTCTTTGCAATGAGAAAATTTGTTTTTGTGACTTATCTAGAAATTGCCCAAATACTTCTTGTTGGTATGTGAAAGTGAAATGTGACCTCTAGCTCACCTAACTCCTGCCAATCTTCACTGATTATTGTTTGCCTTGGGAACCTGAAACTAGAATTTGGTTGTTTCTCCTGTTGTGTATTAGGGAACTGATCCTGAATACAACAGTCTTGTGAAAAGGCTTCTTAAGAAGCAAAATGTGAAGTGAATAGCCTTAGAAAGACCAGTGAAGAACAGAGTGGCGGAGATTGCTGTTAATTTGCTCATCTCTAGGGTTTCAACATGCTGTTTTTCACAGGTCACTGATCTTGATGATGAAGTTGGGTCCCCAGCTGAAGAGTTCAAAGCCTTTGCAGCTGATTCTGGCATGAACAGGAGCCAGTCGGAATACTGCAACGTTGGCACCAAGACCTACCTAACCAACCATCCTGCCAAGAAGTTTGTGTTTGACTTCATGCGTGTGCTGATAATTGATAACTTGTGTCTCACACCAGCCAGCAAACAGACTCCACTGGTAGATCTTCTGCTAGAGGTACAGTTTCTTGGGGTTTCGTGTTTTGTTCTGGTTTTATTATTTGAACTTATTGTGACACTTTATGTCGATGTCTGACTTCTATTTTCTCCTTGCTTTGGAGCAGCCATCAATCTTGTTTTGGCCTCTTAGCCAGTACCTCCTTTTGTCTGGAAACACAGGTAGTGGATCACAACACTAGGTGGTCGACAGTGACAGCATGGGAAGTTGTAGCTTTCTTCAAGTTTTATTTTTGAGGAGTATGATTCATTTGTTAAACACCTTTCAGACCATGACAGCTGTGTTGGCTTTGTTGAAAACTTAAATTCCCTGCAGAAATATTAAGGTTTCTGGTTTATTTGTATCAGAGAAAAAGAAGTGGCAGGACACATGGTGTCGTAGGCTATAAAAATTCACAAAATAACAGTGTTATCTTCCTGTGAATTACCTTTTAAAGTTCATGACACCTGCAGAAAGCATCCTTCTGTTAATGCTGAGGCAGGGAATGAGGAGTTCAGTTCCTGTTTTGCTGCCCACACCTCCTTCAGCCAGTGTATTTTGAAATGTTGAGGTCACATCAATTCACATTCTCCCTCGACCTGCCTTTTCCTTACGTAGTCTGCGTGTTGCTGAGTCTCCCTGATTCTTTTGAGAGCTGCAGGAATTTTGGGCTGTGCCTGTGTATTTCCTCACACGTTTCCTGGGGCAGTTGGGCATCAGATCAGAAAGATCAGTGTTTGATCTTTCCCATTTACTTGTTTTTAACTGAAGGAGGTGAATCTGTGAACTGAGGAGATCACAGTTTAACCATATGTTTAATTAGAGATTTGTGCATCTTTTCAGAATGTGTTCTTTTCCAGTGACAGAAGATAGATTTATTGCATTTTAATAGGAATGATGCCCACTCTGTAAGACTGCATACAGCTAATGTATACTCAATGTGCATTCTTAAATTTTTAGATAAAGCCAAGGCTTTTTACTCAAAACAAAATGTTGAGATAAAAAACATAGTTCGTGAGAGCTGAGAAAAGAGAAATTCACCAAGAGCACCCTCCCTTTCCCCCTTTTTGTTCACTCAGAGCTGCTCATTATCTTGATGTTGTATTTTTTTTTTATCAGGCTTCTCCTGAAAGATCAACACGAACTCAGCAGAAGGAGTTTCAGACATATGTTTTGGATGGGGTGATGGACCACTTGCTTGCGGCTGATGTTTTATTGGGTAATATAGTCAAGTTTAATTAGCAATCTATTGATTTTGAGCAAAAGGGTTTGATTATTTAACTTTTTCTTTATTATCGTCCTGTTTTCTTGCAACGTGATTGTCTTTATTTTTTTTCCCCCTGCCCTTTCCTTCCCTTTGATGTGTAAATGGTGTTGCTGTGCTTGCATCTTCCCCCACTGTCTTGATTGCGCCGAAGCTGTAAAATAGGTCATTCAGAAAAACTGTATGGCACGGATCTTTGAGATACATAGGCCAGCAAATATCAATCACATCAAAAAGAACCGAAACTGGATGTTGCCTCATCTGTCTGATCCTCACCTTGGTAGAGAATCTGGAGCTTTTGTCAGTTTATCCCTGGTGGGACTTCGGTTTTTAAAAGTTAGCTTTGTCTCCATTTCCTCCGACCGTAGTTTTATTATGAGCGTACTACCCCAGAAAAAAAACTCTGGGATTAGTGCTCCGTTGATCCAGTTAATAAATAGAAAGGAAGAGAATTAGAAGCTTGTAACTTTGTTGTCAGTAGGGTGGGCTGTCCCACCTGAGTATGGGTTTAGATGATCGTGACAAGGCCTGTCGGAGTATCATAGAATGGTTAGAGTTGGAAGAGACCTTAAAGATCATCGAGTCCCAACCCCCCTGCCCTGGGCAGGGACACCTCCCGCCAGACCAGGTTGCTCCAAGCCCCATCCAGCCTGGCCTTGAACCCTTCCAGGGATGGGGCATCCACAGCTTCTCTGGGCAACCTGTTCCAGTGTCTCACCACCCTCACAGCAAAGAATTTCTTTCTGGTATCTCATCTAAATCTCCCCTCTTTCAATTTAAAACCGTTCCCCCTTGTCCTGTCACTGCACTGTACACACAGACACGTGCAGCTGATGTGCCTTGACTCAGTTTTATTGAGCAAAGCGCAGCGAGGGAGGAGTGACACCAGCTAAGTATCACTTGTCATCTCCAGGTGTTTTAAAAAGGTCTTTAATTTTTGAAAAAGCAAAAAGTATAATTTAAAATATCTGCAGGTGGTTCTGCACACGTGCAGCTCCGATTGAAAAGGAGCACCATACCTAAATATGATGCCTCGGGATCCTAGGAGTACTGTTTCTTCTGGATTCTTCCCACCTCAGCCCCTCCTTTTTTGGTCTTCGTTGTTTTCAAACATTTGCTTACGGTCAAAGATCATTATAGGGAAGCCATGAGGTTTTTTTAGCTTTTTCTTTGAGTCTCTTTCTCTGTTACAGAAGTCTAGAAAGCACAGACTAATGTGAATGTATTTATGCAGATGTGGTTTTTTTGATAAATGAAGAAAACTTTGGGTTTTTTTATTACCTAGGTGAAGATGCATCCTTGCCTATAACGAGTGGAGGAAGCTACCAAGTGCTGGTGAACAATGTGTTTTATTTCACACAGCGTGTGGTAGATAAGCTTTGGCAGGGCATGTTCAACAAAGAATCCAAACTTCTTGTGGACTTCATAATCCAGCTGATTGCACAGGTAACAGTATTTTTCTATTAGCCTGCTTGCAAAAACATTTTCTTGGGTTTTTTTCTTAAAATCCATGGAGAGATGTCACTGAGGAACCTGCTAGTGATGCATGTCAGGTCACCATAGAGGTACTCTTTTCTTCCCTGGACTTTCTTTGTCTTTACTAAGCTTTTTTTAGCACATCTTGTCAGCATGGACCATTTTAGTATGGGGCAGCTGAGTAAAAACTGCTTTCAGATGACATAATTTTTTACAAATCTCCCAAAATAAGCAATGAAATTTCCCTCACGTGAATTTTGAGGAGCTTCCTGAATTTATCTTGAATTTATTTTTGAGAAGCTTCCTCATGCGCTTTTGTTGGAGATTATTAGAAGACTTTTATTGTTTGAAATCAGCATCTTCATAGATGTTTGAATTTTAAGTGTATCGTGTATTAATGTCATTTTGGTCCTTGAAATTAACGGAATTGACACTTTCAGCAAAATACTGATTTTTGAGAAATGAGTATGAGTCAATTCGGAGGAAGATTGTGTGCCAGTAAATTGGTTTTTTTTTCTACTATCTGATGATGTGTTTTTCCTTCACATCAGTCAAAAAGAAGATCTCAGGGACTATCGCTGGATGCTATTTATCACTGCCTGAACAGGACCATCTTGTATCAGTTCTCAAGGCCGCACAAAACTGTTCCTCAGCAAGTGGCTCTCCTTGATTCCCTGAGGGTCCTTACCGTGAACAGAAATTTGATTTTGGGACCTGGCAACCATGACCAAGAGTTCATCAGCTGCCTAGCTCACTGCTTGATCAACCTGCATGTGGGAAGGTAAATAGCTCTGTCTGAGACAGACAAAACCTGTTCTCTCTCAGCAATTGACACTCAACTTGTGAATAAGTCAGCGAATTCTGGTTAACAGCTTGTAACTTTCCAGCCATTGAAGCCTTTTTGGTGTTTTGCTTTGATAATTCGAAATGTTTTCAAGGTAGAAAGAAATATTGGTCCTAAGTAATTAATAGTCAAAGGGACCTGTCGTTAGATTTATTGTCTATTGAATCATCTCCTACAAATGTTGTGTCTTAGTACTTGGATGGGTGGCATTGAGTAAGTCTAGTCAGGCATTTAATCAGATGCCTGTGACAAATGCTGTAGACACCCACTTTTCTGCATTGCTGTCAATGCCTGCCTGGCATTTGTGGTTTTTTCAATTTCCAAAAAGATGTACAACTTGTGTTTCATCCAAAGGCGCTTTGAGAAGCATCGTCAGCAGAACCCCTCACGTGCTCCATTGGTGGCCTCATCTGTTTTTGTGTCCTTTCAAACATTACCATCTTCCTCTAGTGTCACCGGTGTCTGTGGCATGTCATTTTTCATGAACCTTCAGTTCAGCTCGTGGCTGCAGGTTACCAGAGCTCTGGTGGACAAAAGTGAAGACGTTGCTGTAGTAGCACCTATTAATCTTTGTGACACTGTCACAAATGCTTCAGCTGGAAGGTTTTTTTTTCTGTTTGTTGTTAATTCATGGTGTATTTGTAGCAACGTCGATGGGTTTGGATTGGAAGCAGAAGCCAGGATGACAACTTGGCACATTATGATCCCCTCTGATATAGAACCAGATGGAGTCTACAATCAAGACGTCAGCGAAGGTAACCTGAGAGTGACAAAGCCACAGATGTCTGCTGATGCCACTTCTGTGGGGTGTTATATCACTGATCCTTACCCCAGTTACTCATAGGGCTGGGTGTGTTGGGGGAGGGACAGTGTGTATAAAAATATATATTAAAAAAATAGATGGAAAACCCCTTAGAAATACCAAGACAATAGCAAGAGTTCTTCATTGTTGTGGGGACGTGCATCAGAATTAGAAATACTGCTTCACATGCACCGAGTCGAACGCAATAGAAATGGGTGACTTTAAGTGTGCGTCGTGGTTTTGCATCAGCTGGATCTTACATGAGCAGAGGTAAGAAATAATTGGTATAAGCTGTAAAATTATTACTCAGTGGCATCCTCGGGATCTTTCAATCTAAAGAAATTTATGAACCAGCAGTGGAAGAAAGGATTCCATGATTATTTTTTTTTTTTTGAAGATGCATCCTTGCCTATAACGAGTGGAGGAAGCTACCAAGTGCTGGTGAACAATGTGTTTTATTTCACACAGCGTGTGGTAGATAAGCTTTGGCAGGGCATGTTCAACAAAGAATCCAAACTTCTTGTGGACTTCATAATCCAGCTGATTGCACAGGTAACAGTATTTTTCTATTAGCCTGCTTGCAAAAACATTTTCTTGGGTTTTTTTCTTAAAATCCATGGAGAGATGTCACTGAGGAACCTGCTAGTGATGCATGTCAGGTCACCATAGAGGTACTCTTTTCTTCCCTGGACTTTCTTTGTCTTTACTAAGCTTTTCTAGCACATCTGGTCAGCATGGACCATTTTAGAGTAAAAACTGCTTTCAGATGACATAATTTTTTACAAATCTCCCAAAATAAGCAATGAAATTTCCCTCACGTGAATTTTGAGGAGCTTCCTGAATTTATCTTGAATTTATTTTTGAGAAGCTTCCTCATGCGCTTTTGTTGGAGATTATTAGAAGACTTTTATTGTTTGAAATCAGCATCTTCATAGATGTTTGAATTTTAAGTGTATCGTGTATTAATGTCATTTTGGTCCTTGAAATTAACGGAATTGACACTTTCAGCAAAATACTGATTTTTGAGAAATGAGTATGAGTCAATTCGGAGGAAGATTGTGTGCCAGTAAATTGGGTTTTTTTTCTACTATCTGATGATGTGTTTTTCCTTCACATCAGTCAAAAAGAAGATCTCAGGGACTATCGCTGGATGCTATTTATCACTGCCTGAACAGGACCATCTTGTATCAGTTCTCAAGGCCGCACAAAACTGTTCCTCAGCAAGTGGCTCTCCTTGATTCCCTGAGGGTCCTTACCGTGAACAGAAATTTGATTTTGGGACCTGGCAACCATGACCAAGAGTTCATCAGCTGCCTAGCTCACTGCTTGATCAACCTGCACGTGGGAAGGTAAATAGCTCTGTCTGAGACAGACAAAACCTGTTCTCTCTCAGCAATTGACACTCAACTTGTGAATAAGTCAGCGAATTCTGGTTAACAGCTTGTAACTTTCCAGCCATTGAAGCCTTTTTGGTGTTTTGCTTTGATAATTCGAAATGTTTTCAAGGTAGAAAGAAATATTGGTCCTAAGTAATTAATAGTCAAAGGGACCTGTCGTTAGATTTATTGTCTATTGAATCATCTCCTACAAATGTTGTGTCTTAGTACTTGGATGGGTGGCATTGAGTAAGTCTAGTCAGGCATTTAATCAGATGCCTGTGACAAATGCTGTAGACACCCACTTTTCTGCATTGCTGTCAGTGCCTGCCTGGCATTTGTGGTTTTTTCAATTTCCAAAAAGATGTACAACTTGTGTTTCATCCAAAGGCGCTTTGAGAAGCATCGTCAGCAGAACCCCTCACGTGCTCCATTGGTGGCCTCATCTGTTTTTGTGTCCTTTCAAACATTACCATCTTCCTCTAGTGTCACCGGTGTCCGTGGCGTGTCATTTTTCATGAACCTTCAGTTCAGCTCGTGGCTGCAGGTTACCAGAGCTCTGGTGGACAAAAGTGAAGACGTTGCTGTAGTAGCACCTATTAATCTTTGTGACACTGTCACAAATGCTTCAGCTGGAAGGTTTTTTTTTCTGTTTGTTGTTAATTCATGGTGTATTTGTAGCAACGTCGATGGGTTTGGATTGGAAGCAGAAGCCAGGATGACAACTTGGCACATTATGATCCCCTCTGATATAGAACCAGATGGAGTCTACAATCAAGACGTCAGCGAAGGTAACCTGAGAGTGACAAAGCCACAGATGTCTGCTGATGCCACTTCTGTGGGGTGTTATATCACTGATCCTTACCCCAGTTACTCATAGGGCTGGGTGTGTTGGGGGAGGGACAGTGTGTATAAAAATATATATTAAAAAAATAGATGAAAAACCCCTTAGAAATACCAAGACAATAGCAAGAGTTCTTCATTGTTGTGGGGACGTGCATCAGAATTAGAAATACTGCTTCACATGCACCGAGTCGAACGCAATAGAAATGGGTGACTTTAAGTGTGCGTCGTGGTTTTGCATCAGCTGGATCTTACATGAGCAGAGGTAAGAAATAATTGGTATAAGCTGTAAAATTATTACTCAGTGGCATCCTCGGGATCTTTCAATCTAAAGAAATTTATGAACCAGCAGTGGAAGAAAGGATTCCATGATTATTTTTTTTTTTTTCTTACATGTATATATTTAATATATATGTACTTATGCACACAGTCATATGTAAAAATATTAAAGCATAATGTATGTGTGGAATTACATATGTGTTTACAGACATATGCTTCTCGAAGATTTTTTTTTTTATTTGGAATCTCATTTTGTTGATAGATGGATGTGGGAGAAGAATCACAACTAACCAGAGCCAGTGTTTCCAATTTGCAGAAAAAAAAAAAAGCCAAAATTAGCTGTCAGATACTTTGTGATAGCATATAAATGGCAAAAAAAAAGGCAGTCTGACCATTTTTCTTTGGTCAGAAATGACCAAAGGCATTTCACAGGTCATGCAAGAGGGGAGGAAACTAGAGTATAATTGCAGAAATTATTCAGTTCACTACTGTAAAATAACAAAAGCACTGTAAAATAACAAAAGCACCGTAGAGAGCTTGCTCTCTGTGTTCTCGTACCTCTGCAGGTCGCCAGCTTCTTTTAAAAGCCATAAACAGAGTGTGGACGGAGCTGATCCACAGTAAAAAACAGGTTTTAGAAGAAGTTTTCAAAGTGACCCTACCTGTCAACGATCGTGGCCAAGTGGATATCACTGTTGCGAGACAGCTGATTGAGGAAGCAAGTTTAAAGTGTTGGCAAAATCACTTGGGTAAGTGTAATTGAGGATTTACCTGTCCTGAATCGTGGATTTCAGGGAGTTGGAGAGAGCGAGAAGGTCTCCCCTCAGTCTCCTCCAGACTGAACACCCCCAGCTCCCTCAGCCTCTCCTCATAAGACTTACTCTCCAGTGATGGGTTCCATCAGACTTACTCTCTTACAGTGATGGGTTCCATCAGCTTCTTCCCTTGGGGTGACCTGTGTTGCCATTCTCAGGACTGGATGTGCCAGGCAAGGAGGGGGACCCCTCTGGAGCATGTCTTGGGGGAAGCCTGCAAACACTGGGTCTTGTGATCGTGATTGGAAATGCCTTGATTGAGCAGTCCTCCTCTAGCAGCAGGGATCATAGAATCATAGAATTGCCGAGGCCGGAAGGGACCTCCAAAGGTCATCTAGTCCGACCTCCCCGCAGTCAGCAGGGACACCCCCAACCAGACCAGGTTGCCCAGGGCCTCGTTGAGCCTCCCCTTGAATATCTCCAGGGAAGGGGCCTCAACCACCTCCCTGGGCAACCTGTTCCAGTGCTCCACCACCCTCACAGTGAAGAACCCTCTCCTCATCTCCAGTCTAAATCTGTTCCCCTCCAGCTTGAAGCCATTGCCCCTCGTCCTGTCACTGCAGGCCTTTCTAAACAGGCTCTCCCCAGCCTTCCTGTAGGCCCCTTCAGGGACTGGAAGGCTGCTATTAGGTCTCCCCGGAGCCTCCTCTTCTCCAGCTGACAACATGCGGTGACTTCTCCTTCCTGACTGGGAAATCTGGTCAGCAGAGGAAGCAGCTTTGCAGGAAAAGGACCCTGAATGGTGGTGGATCCTGGTGAATCCTGGTGGACAACAAGTTAAACACAAATCAGTTCTGTGCTTGTGTAACTCTTGCTGGACCGAATTAGAGCTGGGACAGCAAATAATAAAATTCCATCGATACAACATGCGGTGACTTCTCCTTCCTGACTGGGAAATCTGGTCAGCAGAGGAAGCAGCTTTGCAGGAAAAGGACCCTGAATGGTGGTGGATCCTGGTGAATCCTGGTGGACAACAAGTTAAACACAAATCAGTTCTGTGCTTGTGTAACTCCTGCTGGACCGAATTAGAGCTGGGACAGCAAATAATAAAATTCCATCGATGTGATTCCATTTGATGATTCCATTGATTCCATGATTCCATTCCATTGATGATTGTATGGCTGTAAAGCACTTGAGGTTAACCTGGATGTACAGAAAGCATTTTTGGAGACTTGGAATACTTGTTTTTGCAGTTTCTGTATTTCTAGATGTGCTTTGTCCCTGGCTGATGTTTGCTCAAGTTTCCAGTATCTCCCTGATAGTCAGTTGTCATGGGCGGAGTGATTAACTTCATTCCTAAGAGAAAAGGAGTGAAATATTAAGGTGAAACAGTGATTTAACAAAATTAGTAATGAATGCGACAGTGTTTCATGAGATTTGATGTCCAGCTCCTAAGAGAGGAGGAGTGAAGTATTTATTAAGGTGAAACAGTGATTTAACAAAATTAGTAATGAATGCGACAGTGTTTCATGAGATTTGATGTCAAGGCCCACTCTGTTATTGACTGCCCAGAGGACAGGGTCAGACACTGTCAGGGAGACCCTCCCCTGGAGTCAGGAGGTTCAGGAAGGACCCCCTGCCTTTCTAAGCTCCTTCTCAGAGAGGAGTCTGGGTGGGTCCAATCCTGGTCCCAGACTTGGTCAAGGGTTTATGTTTAAAGGGTTATATCTGTGCAATCAATCCTTTATATCACTTAGCTAAGATTTCAAAGTTTATCAGGCTGTTAGTCACTTATGGAGAACCTGTTGGGGCAAGGAGTCTCTCAACCTGAAGGAGTAGAACCTTAAGTGAGTGTCCTCACCACAGGGGAGACCCTGGCGTGGAGCTGCTGCCATCCAGGACAGTTCAACGGGTCTGTCCACTATTTATAGAGTGAGATAATTGAGCTGTCCAATATTTATAGAGTGAGATAATTGACCTATAGTCATATCCTCATGGGAATAAACTGTCTAGGTCCCCACTCCAGAGAGTGTTTTGCCTGCTGTTGCCAGCCAATCCCCCAAAGTCCAGGTGCAAGTTGTCACAGCTGATGTTGTGATGGCCGTGGTGGCCATGGCCCGAATGGCCCTGGTGGCCATGGCCCGAGCAGGAGCCTGGGTGGGGAGAAGAGGGGGAAAAATAGGGACAGGACACCTCCACATCAGTGTATTTGCAGAAATGTTTTGAGTAGAATGAAGGAGAAACATTAGGAGAAGGAGAAATTATTGCTAGAAGAAAGTTAGAAGAAAAAAGAAAGCTCAGAGGTGGAGTGAATTGAAGAAAGTGTGAGGAACGTGTGTACTTTCTAAATCAAAGGTAACCAATAAACAGTATAACTCATTAGCTGAGTATGGGGAGAATGTGAGGTTGTTGAGAGAGCTGAATTAAGCTGGAATATTTTTACTTCAGTTTTAAAGTAGGCACACCAGCCTTGTGGACTTGACTATCAACTGGCACGACTGTATGTGCACAAGAAGGTGCAGTTGGCCAACCCACCTTCTCTGCTCAATGCAGGGTATTTTGCTGCCAGGTTGGTCAGTGGACTCATGTTGTAGCTCCTTTTTGGGTACAGATGTGGTGCTCAGCTGCATCGTTTTCTCTACTATCTGCTGGTTTTATCATAAAAGATCTAAATTCTGTTATCTTTGTAACAGTTTTAAGGAAAAAAAAAAAGGCATTTTTCCAGATGCTGTCTCCCTTCTTTGGAATTCCCACTTTAAGGATTGTAAATCAGCAAAATTAAGGTTGGTGGGGTTAGAGAGGGACTAGGTGATGATTTTATTTATACATAGCTCTTTTTCACCTCTTCCGAATTCCTAACTCATGGACCCTGATTTTGATAATTGATGGATGAAGTAACAAATCTGTTTGTTGTGTTGCAGGTAATTCCCACGTTTTACCTGGGAATCTTTCCTTATGCAAGTCACAAATGTTTGACATCAATGTGAGTGCTGCTGGGCACTCTTAAAACAAACAAATAACAATAAAAAACAAACAAACAAACAAAATACACAGACACACACCCTAATCCCGAAAACACCCACCATACACAGACACACACACCCTAATCCCGAAAACACCCACCCTTTTAAGTCACCAGAAAAGGTTAATTCTATTTAAAGAAAACCCAACTGTAATGGGAATAGGGAGAAGAAAACCACCTAAAAAGTGCTCCCAACGCTTTTTTTTTGTTTTTCAGCTCACGAGAAGAAATGCATCAGTAGAGGGGAGGCTCTGGTTCCAAGCACCCAGTCCAAACTTTCACGAGTCAGCAGTGGCTTTGGCCTCTCTAAACTGACCGGCTCCAGGAGAAACCGCAAGGAGAGCGGGCTCAACAAACACAACCTCTCCACACAGGTAACTTCTGTTAATTAATAACACGCCCTCTAAAATCCAACAAAAGGTGTGTTTAGGGTTTGTGGTGATTATCCCAATGTAAGGGGTTTTCTTACCCCTTTTTTGAATATCCAGACGGGGCATCTTGCTTCTGTGTGTCCTCATCTAATAGGCACATCTGTAACATTAAGCCAACAGTTAAATTCTTTGTTGTTGGTGAGACTGCTTCTGGTTATATATATGTGCTTTATTGCTTTGCTAGTCTGGGTCTTGAGACTGCTTCTGGTTATACATGTGCTTTATTGCTTTGCTAGTCTGGGTCTTAAATTCAGTTTGCAACACTGCTCTGAAGTGGAAGCTGTGAGATAGATGCTTGTCCTGGTTTTTTTTTTTTTCCACCCTGCCCCCAAGATTTATGTGGTTTGGGGAAAATCCCTTTATGACCATGTATGACAGAGAAGAGCTCAGCAAAACAATATGTGATGGTAGAACTGGACATTCGCTTTACAAACACTCTTGTTTAAAAATAAAATAAGTTAGAGCAGAGTAGCACAGCAGGGGTGCTCCCAGTAGGACAGTACCTGGTGGGGCATCGCAAGGAGTTAGTATAAAGCATTTGAGGCACTGAAAACAGAGGAAAGAGAGGGGTTTGAAAGTTTTGGAGGATTGAATTCCTGAATTCTCACTGTATTTAGCTCTTGAAACACTGGGGACATGTTGGGTCTGAGGGGACAGGTGTATTCCTGCCACAAGGAGACATATAACATGGAAACAGGTATATCGCGGTACACAGTGAGGGGTGCTGGGTGTCCTGAGGATGTCCAAAGAACTAGGTAGCATCCACAAAACATTGCTTAAAAGGAAATAGGGGAAAAATAATCATATTTGTCAGTGCCAATCTCTGGCTGTTTGGGAGTGTTCTGAACTGCTAGGCAAGTGTTTGGGATATTTTCCAAATATTTGCCAGTTTCTTTTAAAGTAGATTCCTATACACAAATTTACTGCCTCAACATCAAACAAAACAAAACCTTAAATACCTAATGAAATTCATTAGGTTCATTATCTAAGTCATTTTTTAAATTATTTATTTAAGAAACGATCCTTTGTGAGCAGGTTTAGCAAGGTGATGTATTCATAGGCTTTTCACTCAAAATCTTCTTTTATAAAGTGTCATTCCATCTGTCCTTTTTACCTTTGTATTAGGAAATTTCCCAGTGGATGTTTACCCACATCGCAGTGGTTCGGGACCTGGTGGACATGCAGTATAAGGAATATCAGGAGGTATGGTTCAAAGGATTCATTGCCTGACGAGGATATTTTGACCTGTTTAGGGTATAATGATCCCATTCCTCGGTATGGGGCTTGTGAAATATTAGGTTGTCATTGGTGAAATGCTTGAAAGCTTAGATACAGTTGTTATTTTTAAGGGTTTTTTAAATGCAATCAAATAAACAAATGAGGAAACTCATTTTGATCTGGTTGTAGGTGGAAACTCATGTAGCAATATTATTACATGTTAAATCATAATATTGTTTTTTTCCAGAAATTTATGTAGTCTTTCCTTAGAAGCAAAAAATCAGAAGGGGAAAAAAAGAGAGAGATTGGACACACATTGGAAATGTGCTAGGATATGCTGTATTTCTAAAACGTTGAGCAAAACCTTAAGATGCAGAGAAGCATCATATACAAACGTTACTTTTATAGTAACAGAAGATCTCATGGTGCCTTTCCCAAATCATGCAGTGATAGAAAGTGGTTGCTCTGTGCCTTCCAGAATGAAATCATTGTACCCTGTGGTTTCTTCTAAACATCCCCAGAGATCTTTGGTTCAAACGTGTTGCAGGTAATTCCCACGTTTTACCTGGGAATCTTTGCTTATGCAAGTCACAAATGTTTGACATCAATGTGAGTGCTGCTGGGCACTCTTAAAACAAACAAATAACAATTAAAAAAAAAAACAAAACAAAAAACAAACAAAATACACAGACACACACACCCTAATCCCGAAAACACCCACCCTTTTAAGTCACCAGAAAAGGTTAATTCTATTTAAAGAAAACCCAACTGTAATGGGAATAGGGAGAAGAAAACCACCTAAAAAGTGCTCCCAACGCTTTTTTTTTGTTTTTCAGCTCACGAGAAGAAATGCATCAGTAGAGGGGAGGCTCTGGTTCCAAGCACCCAGTCCAAACTTTCACGAGTCAGCAGTGGCTTTGGCCTCTCTAAACTGACCGGCTCCAGGAGAAACCGCAAGGAGAGCGGGCTCAACAAACACAACCTCTCCACACAGGTAACTTCTGTTAATTAATAACACGCCCTCTAAAATCCAACAAAAGGTGTGTTTAGGGTTTGTGGTGATTATCCCAATGTAAGGGGTTTTCTTACCCCTTTTTTGAATATCCAGACGGGGCATCTTGCTTCTGTGTGTCCTCATCTAATAGGCACATCTGTAACATTAAGCCAACAGTTAAATTCTTTGTTGTTGGTGAGACTGCTTCTGGTTATATATATGTGCTTTATTGCTTTGCTAGTCTGGGTCTTAAATTCAGTTTGCAACACTGCTCTGAAGTGGAAGCTGTGAGATAGATGCTTGTCCTGGTTTTTTTTTTTTTCCACCCTGCCCCCAAGATTTATGTGGTTTGGGGAAAATCCCTTTATGACCATGTATGACAGAGAAGAGTTTAGCAAAACAATATGTGATGGTAGAACTGGACATTCGCTTTACAAACACTCTTGTTTAAAAATAAAATAAGTTAGAGCAGAGTAGCACAGCAGGGGTGCTCCCAGTAGGACAGTACCTGGTGGGGCATCGCAAGGAGTTAGTATAAAGCATTTGAGGCACTGAAAACAGAGGAAAGAGAGGGGTTTGAAAGTTTTGGAGGACTGAATTCTCACTGTATTTAGCGCTGGAAACACTGGGGACATGTTGGGTCTGAGGGGACAGGTGTATTCCTGCCACAAGGAGACATATAACATGGAAACAGGTATATCGCGGTACACAGTGAGGGGTGCTGGGTGTCCTGAGGATGTCCAAAGAACTAGGTAGCATCCACAAAACATTGCTTAAAAGGAAATAGGGAAAAATAATCATATTTGTCAGTGCCAATCTCTGGCTGTTTGGGAGTGTTCTGAACTGCTAGGCAAGTGTTTGGGATATTTTCCAAATATTTGCCAGTTTCTTTTAAAGTAGATTCCTATACACAAATTTACTGCCTCAACAACAAACAAAACAAAACCTTAAATACCTAATGAAATTCATTAGGTTCATTATCTAAGTCCTTTTTTTAATTATTTATTTAAGAAACGATCCTTTGTGAGCAGGTTTAGCAAGGTGATGTATTCATAGGCTTTTCACTCAAAATCTTCTTTTATAAAGTGTCATTCCATCTGTCCTTTTTACCTTTGTATTAGGAAATTTCCCAGTGGATGTTTACCCACATCGCAGTGGTTCGGGACCTGGTGGACATGCAGTATAAGGAATATCAGGAGGTATGGTTCAAAGGATTCATTGCCTGACGAGGATATTTTGACCTGTTTAGGGTATAATGATCCCATTCCTCGGTATGGGGCTTGTGAAATATTAGGTTGTCATTGGTGAAATGCTTGAAAGCTTAGATACAGTTGTTATTTTTAAGGGTTTTTTAAATGCAATCAAATAAACAAATGAGGAAACTCATTTTGATCTGGTTGTAGGTGGAAACTCACGTAGCAATATTATTACATGTTAAATCATAATATTGTTTTTTTCCAGAAATTTATGTAGTCTTTCCTTAGAAGCAAAAAATCAGAAGGGAAAAAAAGAGAGAGACTGGAAATGTGCTAGTATATGCTGTATTTCTAAAACGTTGAGCAAAACCTTAAGATGCAGAGAAGCATCATATACAAACGTTACTTTTATAGTAACAGAAGATCTCATGGTGCCTTTCCCAAATCATGCAGTGATAGAAAGTGGTTGCTCTGTGCCTTCCAGAATGAAATCATTGTACCCTGTGGTTTCTTCTAAACATCCCCAGAGATCTTTGGTTCAAACAGGCTGCTGAGCTGTGTGCTATAAATCTTAAGAAATCAGCTTCTGAGAGAGACAAGTCATTGAAAGCAATTAGTTAAGAGACAACCTCCAAACTTTGCTTCATTTAACTTCTCTCTCCAATGTGAATACAGGCAGGGAAGGCCTCCAAAATAATTTTTCCTAAAGCAGTTTTTCAAAATAAGTGCATTAGTCTTACATTTCTTTTATATTTGCCATTCAGAAATAAATTCAATCAACCATACAAACCAAAAGCAGAGCTTTTACCTTCTTTTTATTCCCTTTTTGTTGAGAGGATTGCAATATGAACCCTGCTTTTATGGTGACTGACACCAGAAATCTCATTAAGGCTTACTAGAAAATGCTGCTGGAATTATGAATTATTACGCCTTTTTCTGTAACGTAGTGAAAATGCCTCTGCTTGCTTAAGAGAAGAGCTTAAAAGCATCACTCCTGAAGCATATGCAAATGTTTTTTGTATTCAGCGTCAGCAGAACGCGTTAAAATACGTGACAGAAGAGTGGTCTCAAATTGAATACGAGTTGCTACGAGAGCGAGGTTTGTGGGGCCCTCCCATCGGCTCCCACCTGGACAAGTGGATGTTGGAGATGACTGAGGGTCCCTGCAGAATGAGGAAGAAGATGGTGCGGAATGACATGTTTTATACCCAGTATCCCTACATGCCTGAAGCCGAGCAAGAAACGAACTTGCTGGTGAGTGTTCAAGCTTTTGTGATGAGTAATTTATAGAATCATAGAGTCATAGAATCATTCAGGTTGGAAGAGACCCTTGGGATCATCGAGTCCAACCATCTACCCTACTCAACAAAGTCCTCCCCTACACCATATCCCACAGTACCCCATCTAAACGTCCCTTAAACACATTCAGGGATGGTGACTCAACCCCCTCCCTGGGCAGCCTATTCCAATTTATGCCCTCTTGTAAATTCAGTGGGGTTTTTGTTAACTTTTTCTTAAGAGACACGTTTTACTCTGTCGGTATTACCTGGTGTTCTGTCTGGATGGCCTAAGTGGTTGGTGAGGTCCAGTTGTTGTTCCTCATCGCGTATTTCGGAAAGGGGCTGGATCACTTGGCTCAAAACTAGGTGAACTCAAAGATTAGGAATTGCACAAGATGAGGTGTACTTCCATCCCAGAGACACCATCACAAACCTCTGCAGCCTTTAGAAGTACCACAACTACAGGAGTTTCAGTCTGAGTTCTCGGCCTTATGCAAGATCACACAGTCAGTAAACAGTGATCTGAAAAATAAAAATAAAAAAAAAAAGAGAAAAAAAACAGCCCACAGGCCTTGGTTTGGTGCGTTTGTGAAATGTGCTTTCATTCATCTGTGAATGTGAACGTGGGCTGTGTAGCAGAAACGCATGTGGCCTTTGAAAGCGTGGCAATAAACCAAGCAAACAAAAAAATAGCATTCAGCCAGGTTTAAACCATGAGGTGGTTTTGTCCCCTCACAATCTGACACACAATAGCTGTGGTGACAGTCAAACTCAGGCAAAGCAGAGAACGTGCCATCATACATTCTTCTCTAAAGTGTTCTTTCTCTGATGCTTATATCATTGATGCCCTGTTTTCAGTCTGACTTCTCAAGTAGACTTCCTGAGACACCCGATGATACCATTCCTCAAAAGGTAAAGAAACGAGCACACTGACTGAAAGAATGTAAAATAAATGCAACTTTTTTTTTTTATTATCCCTTCTGCATGTTAGGCAATCTTAACAAGGCTTCTACGTTTGGCTTTCAACTTGCTCTTTCAATAAATATTTCCAGGCCTAAAGGTGTTTTTTTTTTTCCTGTAATCACGTTAGAAGATGTTGCTGTGCTCTCCTCGGCCTTCACCTAATAAAACCTTCTGTAGATCTGACCTCCTTTGCTGCACACTAACGGGCTGTGTTGGGCTGTGCTATCACTGTTCTCACTGTGTGGAGTGGTGTGGCTTTGGGATGGGAACTAATGGTCGGTGGAAGATGTTTAGTAATGGGCAACGTGACCACTTGGAAGCACTTACTGGGAAAGTAAGTGTTTCTTTCTAGGAGAGGATCTGGTGAGCAGTTTTTCTTGGTTTTTGGCCGTACTGGGTTGTAACAGGCCTATTTTTCACAGAATCACAGAATGTTATGGGGTTGGAAGGGACCTCTGGAGGTCATCTAGTCCAACCCCCTCCCAAAGCGGGGCCACCCAAAGCAGGTTGCACAGGAAAGTGTCCAGGTGGGGCTGGAATGTCTCCAGAGAAGGAGACTCCACCACCTCCCTGGGCAGCCTCTGCCAGGGCTCTGCCACCCTCATAGAAAGGAAGTTCCTCCTCATCTTTAGGTGGAACTTCTTTAGATGGAACTTCAAGTCAAGTTTGTGCCCATTTCCTCTTGTCCTGTCCCTGGGCACCACCAACAAAAGACCAGCCCCATCCTCCTGACACCCTCCCTTGAAGTATTTCTAAGCCTTGATCAGATCCCTCCTCAGCCTTCTCTTCTCCAGACTCAAAAGACCCAAGTCCCTCAGCCTCTCCTCCTAAGAGAGATGCTCCAGGCTCTTTTGTTAGAGCCCAGATTAATTTTGTCTCAGTTCACTTCCCATTTTTACGATTAATGAAGTGTACACATTTGTTTAAAAAATATGAATCCTGCCTTGATAATGACAGATTTGTTTGGAAGTGGCTGTTCTGCAGGCATTTCAGTATTACGCTGCTTCTCTGTTAATTACACTCACAGTCTTGCCCATCACTAAGTATGATGTGTAATGTGTGTTCACTCATGTTGAATTACATTCAACAATAAACTAATACCTATAAATGAAAGTAATTCTATTATACAGAATACCTAACATAAATTTTTACTGTTTTCCTTTCTTCATGTTAGCAGCGCTAGTTAGGATTTCTCTTTGTAGGGTGTTACATAAATTGTTTCCGCAGAGGTTTTAAGCGTCATTTAAGTGGCATTTTTGTGGTGCTGAGGAGTGAAGACGTGGTTGAACATAAGTGAGCAAATTAGATGACAGTGCCTTAAATTATTATTTTTGGGGACAGCAAATTTGACCAGAAATAATGAATCTCCATGTTGCTGATCTTAATCTCTTTGTCATCCCAAGCATCCGCTTGGAACAAAGCTAGTTTGGTTTTGTGGGTCTTTTAGTTTCCCACTATATTATCACACAGATGAAGAATAACAAAAAAAAATAAGTTATATATTTCCAGTTATTATTCCAGAAGTGAACAAGAGAAAATCTTGACTGAAATGGCACTGGTATTCTACAGTTCTACATAATGTAAAGCATTGAACTGGATTTATTTGATTTATAATAATAATATTTTGTGATTATCCCAACCTAGTTTTGAAATTATTGGGAAATTTAGGCTATAAAACAAATAAAAAATTATATGATGAAGAACTGAACACATTCATAAGCTTTCTAGAGTTTGAGGGTGGAGTTAAAGAGTAGTCGTAGAAGAAAATTTTCAACTGCAGGATGAAATCAGTGGGTTTTCGTCCATCCACACGCATCACTGTGTTTTAATTTTGGAAAAGTTCTTTAATATTTCTTTTATCTTCACTTGAATCTCCTTTGTTAGTTCTGATGTGTTTATTGTCCTCATTTAGTTCCTCTATTTCAAATATTACCTCCATAATCAAGTGAGGAACATAAGAATTAGCCTGAGGTGGGAGACGGGATGGACAAAAGAAAAACAAAAAACAAAACTGTATCTCCTGTGTTAGTTCTGATGTGTTTATGGTCCTCATTTAGTTCCTCTATTTGAAATATTACCTCCATAATCAAGTGACGAACATAAGAATTAGCCTGAGGTGGGAGATGGGATGGACAAAAGAAAAACAAAAAACAAAACACCAAAAAAAAAAACCAAACCTCAACAAAACCAACCCCAAACAAACCAAAAAGAACTCCAATCCAGAAAACCACCACACCACCACCATAATTAAATGTATCATAATCCATTGTTGTCACCCAAAGGTAGAAATGTTGTTCAAAGAATAAGTTTGATTAAACGGATACTCCTGTGGGCAGGAGACCGGCACAAACCATCAGAATATTTACTGAAAAAAAAACAACCCAGTTGAATTAATTAAGAATTTCTGAGCCTTAAGGCCAGTCACTGGCCTTAAGTTCGTATCACTTTCCACATGTCTGTATCTTTCCTTGAGGCAATTTTTTGTTCAAACCGTTGCCCAGCGAAGAAGTCAACTGGGCAAGGAATAAGTTGTAGGAGTTAGGACAGATGATAAAATGGCCATCTGGTCTACCAAACTGAAGCAGAACATCCCAGCCTTTTGTGACAGTTCATAACGTACTGGCCACGCTTCTTATTTATTTTCCCCCCCCAGTGTTGTAGGTTTATCTGCAGGCATTTCTGCAAGCCCATCATTAATTGGGTGGCTGAGTAGCTCCCTCTCAAATTATCTGGCAGAGTAGATCCTACCGCAGAGTTGGTGTGTCGGTGTGTGACTTGAGCATGCACAGAACACGTGGTGGGCATGCACCGTGCTGCACACACTCTTCCTGAAACACCTTTAGGGAGGTGAGTGAGGAGTTAGTTGACTGACCCAGCAATTTCTTCAATTATTTCTAAGAAACCGGCTCGTTACCGAAGAGCGATAAGTTACGACAGCAAGGAGTACTACATGCGCCTGGCTTCTGGAAACCCTGCCGTCTTTCAGGACGCTATCGAAGAGAATACAGTAGGTGAAACAACCCAGCAGGAGCCAGAACACGGGGAGGACACGATTGCAAGAGTCAAAGGTTAGATTATTTGTTCTATCCTGGATGGTTTTCTTTCAACTTACCTGCCTTTCTATCTTCTCATGCATTTGCATTAAGATAAGGATCCTGTAGGACGCTCGTTTTTCTGTCTTAGCGTCAGATCAGTGATTTCAAAGCTCAGTAGGTTTTCAAAGTGAATTTTTTATGTGTCAAGGCTTATATTTATCTGTCTCCTTTCTTCTTTTCCAGGCCTGGTGAAGCCTCCCCTGAAACGATCTCGCTCTGCTCCTGATGGAGGAGATGATGAGAACCAGGACCAATCCCAGGATCAAATCGTTGAGGGGAGTTCGATTGACGAAGAGGAGAAGACTGACAATACAACTTTGCTTCGGCTTCTCGAAGAAGGAGAGAAGGTATTGTCTGCTTCAAACACACCAAGCCCTTACTGTACTGGAATTTCTGCTTTACGTGTTGCAAGCAGGAATGAATGTCCTAAATACCTTCCCTGATCTACAGCTGAATTTTATTAATATTTCATCAGCTTCTTCCTTGAAACCAAATGTGGCTCAAAAGAGATCCTGAGCTGAAAACCCTGGAAAACATTCTTTTTCTTTCCTTCTGCCTGCTAGGGGGAAAAAGAACTTGTCCTGAAATGAAAGCTGGGAGCTATCTCAGGCTTGGATGATTATCCTGTTGGCTTAATGAGTCCAGACAGAAAAAAATATGTTGAAAATCTAAATACTGAACTTGGCAGACTGTCTTAAATTAATTGTTCTCTCCATTAGAAGAAAATTCCTGATAACTAGTATTTTTATTCCTAAGAACAGTGTTCAATGACCGTGTTGCTGCGTATTTGGTATTTCAGACTCTTAGTGTGTGAAGTGTACTAGTAAATACATTTTGTGATCAGAGTCAAGTGGGCTACAGGTTCTAAAATACGCTCAAGAAGCATGGTGTGAGTGAATAAATTAGTAAATATAAAAATCTGTATCATGGAGAGGAGGCTTTACTTAACTCCCTTCCCAATTGCAAATTGCAGGTGGTAGGTATATCTCTGAGTAAAGGGGGGAAATGGGAGAATTTTTTGCTGTATCTACAAGTCGTAAAGCAGTGTCTAGGGCTCGTTCTAACAGAGCAAGAGTCTGAGCCTGAGCTCCTCAACTGGCATTTGCTATAAATGTCTGCTTTTCCTTCCAGATTCAGCAGGGGCTCGTTCTAACAGAGCAACAGTCTGAGCCTGAGCTCCTTAACTGGCATTTGCTAAATGTCTGCTTTTCCTTCCAGATTCAGCACATGTACCGCTGCGCTCGGGTCCAGGGACTGGACACCAGTGAAGGGCTGCTTCTCTTTGGGAAAGAGCACTTCTACGTCATCGATGGGTTCACCATGACAGCCACCAGAGAAATACGGGACATTGAGACGCTGCCTCCAAAGTGAGTAGCTTAATGGAGGGTTTCCTCCCTCTTTAATAGCTGAACAAGAAGTATTTAATGAGATTTTGGAGGAGTCAACTCCAAAATAATGTCAGATTCAGGAAGACCTCGAGAGCAGGTTCCTCTGTGCTCACAAATTTCACAATATGCCATACCTCATTGAGCAAATCGCCTCTTTCTATAAGCAGACTCTGGTATGAATCAAGAGAATAGTTCTTTTAATTCATGATCTTTTTAATCACTTCTCTCTTGCCTGTTTATGCTCGTTTACAGGATGCATGAGCCAATCATTCCTAGGGGAGCAAGGCAGGGTCCAAGTCAACTCAAAAGAACATGCAGCATTTTTGCATATGAAGATATCAAGGAAGTACATAAAAGGAGATACCTTTTGCAGGTAACTTGGACACCGTAATTTTATTGAGGAGCCAACTTTGGGATTTTTGGACGATGTTACCATTTTTAAGTATAATAAGTACATAACTGATCAGTATTTGGGAAGTGAAGCTATTCACTGTGTTGAAATGGAAGCGCTTAAGTTGGGCATCCTTTTTTTGAACATTTGGCTTACCATGGTTTGGTTTATTGGGTGTCTAAGTGAATTTTAGTCTTCCAAAAAGAGAACATCTGGCTGCATGAAGCAGAGGCTGCTTCACCATGATTTGGTGTTAGATATAGTACAGTATGGCCAAGCAGGTCTGCATCTGACCTTCAGAGAAGACGAAATCTTTTAGTGTTGACATGGGTTTGTCCTCTTTTCTTTCAGCCAATTGCAATTGAAGTTTTCTCTGGAGATGGACGGAACTATCTTCTAGCTTTCCAAAAAGGAGTTAGAAACAAAGTTTATCAAAGGTATTGTAAAATAAGTTACAACATAGAATATTTGTAAATATCTGTGGTGAGCCATGTTGGAGCCTACAGCGACCTAACAGCCAGAAGGAGGTTGCAAGTGATGGGTGTTATGGCCGTGGATAACCTGACAGCAACTTAGTGCTGCCCAAAAGAACCTCTAGGAAACACTAATGCCCACGTGTGAAACTTGCCCTGTGCATTGAGTGAGAAATGAATCATTCCAAATTTTGCTGAAGATGTTCCATAGCTGCTCAAAACAAAGTCTGTAACTGTACTAAATGAGCTCTATTTCCAAGGCAGACATACCGAGGACAGAAAGGCTAATCTTAATCTCCTTTTGGCTGGTGATGCAGGTTTTTGGCAGTGGTGCCATCTCTAACTGACAGTTCGGAGTCGGTGTCTGGGCAGAGACCAAACACCAGTGTAGAGCAAGGGTAAGTGGTTCTGTTCCTCACCGAGCTCTGTAGCTCATCCCTTTCAAATAAATGATGTTTGCGTTAAAGTCAGGATTCACTGAAGAGTTCTGCAACCTCCAGTGAAAATTGGGCATTACCAGAATAAATAGTGATGTTGTGCTCCAGTTATTTTAAATGTATTAGTATCATTGGCAGAGGCATTGGTATGTCTTCTTACTAATTAATATACGTTATCAGGATTAACTTTATCGCTATACAGATATGTTCTGAAAGGAATTTGGGAGCCAAAGCTATCAGATTTGTCTAAGTTAAAGATAATTTCCTCATTGGCAGCCTGTTAGGTATGTTTGTGCTTTCATTGAATTGCATAATTTTAACAGACTGTGTTTATAAACACACACAAACAAAAAAGGCACTGGTAAACAAAGCAAAAAGGAACAAAGCTCTGTTTTTGCAATCGTTTGCAGTTAACCAAAATTTAATCTTAAAACTTTGGATTGTCTTGTGAAGGTGTAACCCAGATCTTGCTGCTAAGTTAGGAAGTGCACTTCCTTCTTCCCATTAGGTCTGGCTTGCTTAGCACTTTAGTGGGAGAAAAATCCGTTACTCAAAGATGGGAAGTAAGTATGAAAATTTTGGTGGTTTGTTTTTTGTTTTTGTTTTTTGGTTTTTTTGTTTGTTTTTGTTTTTTTTTAAATTAAATTCCACATTTTGTAGTGATACATAATTAATCAGTGTACATAAGTCATATCCTCTTATTCAATCAGGTGGAATGTACTGCAGTAGAAAGTGTATTCCAGCATTTTAAGTTTGTGCTATTTGTTGATACTATCGTCCAGTAGAAAATGATTCTACTGTTGAAAACACAAGGGGAGGGACTGTAGTAAAAGCAGAGTAAGGGTTGTAATACTGAAGTGAGTTGCATATGTTTGGGGAGGGCTGAATGCTCTGACAGCCTGGCAACGTAGACGTTTGATTGTTGTAAAAGTGAAAGCTTTACAGTGCTGTTATCTGTCTTCCTTAAGAGAGGAGAAATCAGTAACTTCCAGTACCTGATGCACTTAAACACGCTGGCGGGCAGATCCTATAACGATCTCATGCAGTACCCTGTCTTTCCCTGGATCCTGGCAGACTACGATTCGGAGGTAAATCAAATACCTCGTCAGCAATCTCTTTTTTTTGTGTGTGTGTTGGGGGTTTTGCAAATGTTCCAGCTGGCTCATGTTGCCCTGGCAAAGCCCAGGCTTATCTTTATCGAGAGTTGTTGGATTTTGTCTGTTGTGTAATGTTCCTCCCTCTTACCAGTGGGTAGGGTGTTGGAGATTCTTGGCACGTTGGCAGGTCCTTGTCTGGGCTGATTTTATGGCCATTACTGTGCACAGATGAGGGCTGGGATACATGGCTTGTTCTAGGACAGGTGCCTGTCTATGTTGCAGCAGTTCCTGTAAGTCTTTCCATGAGCTTTCCACTGAATATCCTGAAGGACAAGAAAGCATGCTTGTCCAGCAGACTCTGGTAGAGGCTACTACAAAATCTGACCCCATGGTGAAGAATTTGCTTTTGAAAAAGATGAAACATCCTATTAAAGCTTCTGTGGGAAGCTGTTGCTACCAGCCAGACCGTAACATAAAATATTGTTAGGGTGTATGTCAAGTACTCAAGAATAGAATTAGAGGAAATTGGGGAACAGGATGAGGGGAGCAGGGCAAAAACTCTATTATATATAGTCAAATCTGGAGCCCAGATATGGGGGCAAAAACTCTATATATAGTCAAATCTGGAGCCCAGATATGACTTAAAAATCACTGACTCTCTCAGATCAGACTGAAGGACTGTTGTAAGCAGATCCAACACTGCACCTGCTGTGTGTGTAGAAAACAAAGGTGACATCCTTAGGAGGCACTTGGTGTTAAATGTGGTGATCAGCAGTGCTGAAAGGCTTTGTTTGGTTTGGGGGGATTTTTTTTATCAAGTTGGTGTCTGTTTTATTTTTAAAGGAACTGGATCTTACGAATCCCAAGACGTTTAGAAACCTGGCCAAGCCCATGGGAGCTCAAACAGAAGACAGGTTAGCCCAGTACAAGAAGCGATACAAAGACTGGGAAGATCCAAATGGTAAGTAATGATACATCCTGCAGGAAGAGCAGAGGGACACGTGCTTGTCACACGATGGGAAAAGTCACAGATTTTTATATTATAGGTCAGGAGGTCTGGATGTGGATATTATAGGTCAGGAGGTCACACAGAAGTCTGCTGTGACTCTCCAACAAATACAGATTAGAATCATAGAATGGTTAGAGTTGGAAGGGACCTTAAAGATCACCCAGTCCCAACCCCCCTGCCCTGGGCAGGGACACCTCCCACCAGACCAGGTTGCTCCAAGCCCCATCCAGCCTGGCCTTGAACCCTTCCAGGGATGGGGCATCCACAGCTTCTCTGGGCAACCTGTTCCAGTGTCTCACCACCCTCACAGCAAAGAATTTCTTTCTGGGATCTCATCTAAATCTCCCCTCTTCCAATTTAAAACCGTTCCCCCTTGTCCTGTCACTGCACTCCCTGACAAAGGGTCCCTCCCCAGCTCTCCTGTAGCCCCTTCAGATATTGGAAGGGGCTCTAAGGTCTCCCCGGAGCCTTCTCTTCTCCAGGCTGAACAACCCCAGCTCTCTCAGCCTGTCTTCACAGGAGAGGTGAAGCCCTCTGAGCATCCCTTCAGCCCTCTGAGCATCTCCGTGGCCCTCCACTAGACCCGTTCCAACAGGTCCATGTCCTTCCTGTGCTGAGGACTCCAGAGCTGGACACAGAGCTCCAGGTGGGGTCTCACCAGAGCAGAGCAGAGGGGCAGAATCACCTCCCTGGCCCTGCTGGCCACACTTCTCCTGATGCAGCCCAGGATGTGGTTGGCTTTCTGGGCTGCCAGTGCACACTGCTGGCTCATGTTGAGCTTCTTATCAACCGACACCCCCAAGTCCTTCTCCTCAGGGCTGCTCTCCAGCCATTCTTCACCCAACCTGTATTTGTGCCTGGGATTGCCATGTCTCAGATGCACGACCCTGCACTTGGCCTGGATGAACTTCATGAGGTTCACACAGGGCCATCTCTCCAGCCTGTCCAGGTCCTTCTGGATGGCATCCCTCCCCTCTTTAGAGCAAAGGGACATTCCTTTTCTTGCCGTGTTGTTTGTTTTAAATCCAAATGGCAGCTTTTAAATCAAAATGAAAGCTTTTGTTTATATGTAGTTATAAAGACAAAACAGTATTAGCAGTATTCTACCTTTTCCATTTCTTATCTTAATGTATGGTTTACTTGCTAAGGAAACAGCATTTTCTTAAAAAAAATCTTAAAAAAAATCAGAATGAGATGCAATTAAGTTACATATTCTTGATTTTAGATCTTCCTTATGTATTGGGAATAAAACCTGTGTGTTTGGCAAGGCAGCCATTATACAATACATTTATTCTTGTGTGCTTTTATCGAAGACACAAGCCTGTTTAACTACTGTGGTGCTCTTCTGCATCAAACAGCAGTAGATGGCAAAGATGTTCATTTCTAGAAATGAATCATATGTTCTGGGTGCATTTACGCAGACCTTTTGCCAGGAAATTAAGAAAGTAAAAGCTGTACAAAATCTGTAGCCAACAATTCTGAGACGTGTTTTTGCCCAAGCCACGGTAACCAATAAGACTGAAAGTGAAAAAAATAGAAACAAAAAAATGGCCAACAATTCTGAGACATATTTTTTGCCCAAGCCACGGTAACCAATAAGACTGAAAGTGAAAAAAATAGAAACAAAAAAATGTTTCTTCAGCAGAAATCACTGTAGCTGTGTTGCAACACTTCAATTAGTTAAAATAAAAAATGACTAACCATTCAATATTGCTCTGCAGAAGCCCGTTGAATTAGGGCTGCTGGACTGCAGCCAAAATTAAAATGCAGCAGTAATTAATTTTTTTTTCAGTATAGTACTGATACTGTCACCTGACTGCTTTATTTGTCCTAATGATTTTTAATCTTCTGCAGGAGAAACTCCAGCTTATCACTACGGGACCCACTATTCATCAGCCATGATAGTGGCTTCCTATCTCGTCCGCATGGAGCCTTTCACTCAGATTTTCTTACGGTTACAGGTACAAATTACATCACCTCACTTCGTGTTTCCTGCTGTACATTTGAGACTTAAGTGAAAAAATACACTCAGTCGGCTTAGTTTTCATCAAATATGGGAGAAGAAATCTTTTTAGCAGAGTTGCTATTGCCTGGGAGGTTTTTGATGTTTCTGTGTGAAAGATGTAATGGATTTCACGCTTTTCTTCCTTCTTGTTTCAACCTTTTTTCTAAATGTATGCAGAACAAAATATCAGCAGACAAAAACTAAAGCAGGTTTTATTGTGAAAAACATTTTGCTCATCAAGCTTTATTTGTCTGTTGCTGAAAGAATCACGCGCCAGTTGTTTAGTTCTGTGCCAGAGGTGTGGAAAGATTTTAATATTTTAATTAATTAATTAATATTTTAAACCAATATGTCCATCCAAAGAGCCATTTTAGTCCTGAGTGTTAAAATAAATGTTTGTAGAGCCGGGAATTGTTTACCAGTTGGGTGATTAATGGGGTCTGTAATATTACATGTCAAATATTTTCCTAGATGGAGACCATGAGGCAAAAAGATTTGTGTTTCTCTGGAAAAGGACTAGATGATTCGCTTCTTAAAATTCTGTGTCTGCGTCTCGGTGTTTTTTATTTAGTATTATTTAGTACCAAAAAGCAATGCAACTCTTTAAATCCCTTGTGTTAAAGGAGGAAACGTGCCACGTTTCTGGACCTTCTTTATTAGGTCAGGGGATGTTCTGATTTGTCTTCTTGGCGACGTCTGGTGTCTCTGTCTCGCAGGGTGGGCACTTCGACCTGGCCGACCGCATGTTCCACAGCGTACGGGAGGCTTGGTATTCAGCATCGAAGCACAACATGGCAGACGTCAAGGAGCTCATCCCAGAGTTCTTCTACCTCCCCGAGTTCCTGCTCAATTCCAACAATTTTGACCTAGGTAGGCCAGGAGGAGCTCGGTAGCGTCGCTGCGGCTGCAAGAGCGGAAGCGTCTCGTAATACGGGCAGAAAAAGATCTATTTCAACTGCATGAGAAAGTGATAGATGGCTTGGGTGTTCTGATACGAAAGCATAAGCAGAATTACTTCTGGTATTTCCTCGTCCTACATGTTTATTCAGTGTTATGTTTGAAAGTCTGGCAGGAATTCTTACTCCTCTGAGTGATACCTCACATGTGTTTTTTCAGATTTATCAGACTTAAGATATTTTCTCAGGCTGTGAGTGCTAGTTTTAAGCAGCTGATGCAAAGTTTATCCTGAGAATTGTTGAACAAGACACTGAAATACCCAAAAAGGACTTTTATTTGGGGTGGTGTGTTTTAGTTTTTGGGGTTTTTACCTGTTCAAAACGCCCAGATAATCATATTTTACTTGGCAGTTTCCCTGGCTTGCATTTTTCTCCATGTAACTTGCTACTCTGTGATGGTGCTCATTGACAGCCTTTACTTTTAGAACTGCCTCTTAAAAGTATTCCTAAAGGTTTTATTGAAATGTCACAGTTTGTGAGCGCTACTCTGTGACGGTGCTCATTGACAGTCTTTACTTTTAGAACTTGCCTCTTAAAGCATTCCTAAAGGTTTTATTGAAATGTCACAGTTTGTGAGAGTGCTTATTCAACAGGAGTAAAATTTCACACCCGCTGGCCTTAGGAGATACATGTTCCTTAGTATGTCACTCTTCACAGTGGCATCAAGCTCTTATTTTCTGAGCTCTGTGCTGTGAATCTGATAGCAATAATGAAGACTAACCAAGTCGTAAGTTTTAACAGCCTCAAATCCTTTATTCACAATGTGTTGTAAGAAATTGGAAGCACAGCCTTACAGAAACAAAAGCAAAACCAAAAGAACAACTCTCACAACCTCTCCCCAAGATATTTCACACAGTTGGGTTTGACCATTACCAGAAGATGGTGAAGTCTTCTCCCCTCAGGTCTGTATCTGATAATTTTGGACTGTGACCATCAGAGCCCTAGAAATTATTCCTTGAGCATTGGAACAACAGTAGAAAAGGTTTTGTTATGAACAACTGTCAAACACCGTGTGATACTTTTGATTGTGTTAATTCATAGCAATTCCTTTTCCCTTCCCCCCTCAGATAAAAAGAGAGGAAGATTCAAAGTCTGGTGACACAAGAGATGTTTCTGGGAGCGCTGGGCTTAGTACTTGTGTACCCCTGTAAATACAGTAACTCCATTCAGGGATACACAATATGTTTGGCTTGGATAGAAATAGTGTGACCAGCAGAAGTCAGGAGGTGATTGTCCCCCTGTGCTCAGCACTGGTGAGGCCACACCTGGAGTGTTGTGTCCAGTTTTGAGCACCTCAATCCAAGAGAGACATGGAGGTGCTGGAGCGGGTGCAGAGGAGGGCAACGAAGCTGGTGAGGGGGCTGGAGAAGAAATCTTCTGAAGAGTGATTGAAGGAGCTGGGACTGTTTAGTTTGAGGAAGAGGAGGCTGAGGGGAGACCTCATCACTCTCTACAACTACTTGAAAGGACACTGTAGAGAGGTTGGGGCTGGTCTCTTCTCACAGGTAATTAGTGACAGAACAAGAGGGAATGGCTTCAAGCTGCAACAGGGTAGGTTTAGATTGAACATTTGGAAGGAATCCTTCCCAGCAAGAGTGGTCAGAGACTGGAACAGGCTGCCCAGGGAGGGGGTTGAGTCCCCATCCCTGGATGTGTTTAAGAGCCGTTTAGATGTGGTGTTGGGGGATATGGTGTAGGGGAGAGCTTTGTAGAGTGGGGTTGATGGTTGGACTCGATGATCCCAAGGGTCTTTTCCAACCTGAATGATTCTATGATTCTATGTTTATTGTGAAGAAAAGAAATCCTGCAATGAAATACCATTCCACCAAGGCTTCTCAGTAGTTTGCTGTTACACTGTCTTGTACTGGGATTTATTTTCTTCAAAATATGCTAAGTTGACATGTAAGTACCAAACAGATGCCAAATACAGGAAATTATGTCCTCTCTTAAATTGGTACATTTATTCCAGTTGTCCTCATAGAATAGGGACAGGGAAGTTGAAATGCGATAAGAGAATGAACCTTCCTGTGGTGATGCCTCTGGGTGGCGGTTCCCAATAGCACAGTTGGCTGCTTGGGTGCAGGCTAAACCAACAGAAGAAGGTTCTGGTTGTACAATGATTGCAGAAGACTGGTTCACTGGCTGTTGTTTTCATTAATTTCATTTAATTTTGTGAAGAAAAGAAATCCTGCAATGAAATACCATTCCACCAAGGCTTCTCAGTAGTTTGCTGTTACACTGTCTTGTACTGGGATTTATTTTCTTCAAAATATGCTAAGTTGACATGTAAGTACCAAACAGATGCCAAATACAGGAAATTATGTCCTCTCTTAAATTGGTACATTTATTCCAGTTGTCCTCATAGAATAGGGACAGGGAAGTTGAAATGCGATAAGAGAATGAACCTTCCTGTGGTGGTTGCTCTGGGTGGTGGTTCCCAATAGCACAGTTGGCTGCTTGGGTGCAGGCTAAACCAACAGAAGAAGGTTCTGGTTGTACAATGATTGCAGAAGACTGGTTCACTGGCTGTTGTTTTCATTAATTTCATTTAATTTAGACCCCGCAGTGGGTCTTTCCCATGCCATGGAGAGAAAAGCAGAATTTTACTTAAATAGAAAAATAAAGGCAAAATAATCCTTTTCCAAGAGCATTTGATGGGGAAACAAAGATTTTGAGTACAGACTGTAGGCTGTGAAGTTGTGAGGACTGAGGAAGAGCAATCTAATCAACACCTCTAGCTAGAAGGGTAGTGTTTGTTTTGAAGACCATATGCTGAAACACTATCATTGTCTTCAAAAGTCTTAGCAAGGAATATTCTCCTTCTGTGAGTAATCTTATATGAACAACTGAGTCAGAATTTCTCATGTTTTATTGCCTGATATTTAAAAAAGACACAGTAATTTTTTGAAACAAAGGCTGAAATGGCTTGCTTTATAAAGGAAAAGTGTTAAATTTGATTTTTTTTTTTAATAGGTTGCAAACAAAATGGCACTAAACTCGGTGATGTCATACTCCCCCCATGGGCAAAAGGAGATCCTCGTGAATTTATCAGAGTTCATCGGGAGGTAATTTGCATTTTAATAAACACGATAGAAGGCGTCAGTTGGGACTTTCCACCGCCTATGACTTGAAGCTCGATTGGTGCAGCCCCAGTTCCTCACCACAGCCCACCAGTTCTGGGTCGATGGCTGATTGTTGCCAAGGGCTGGGCAAGGAAGAACCTCATGAGGTTCAACAGGGAAAAGTGTAGGGTCCTGCACCTGGGGAAGAAAAATGTCAGGCACCAGTACAGGTTAGGGGTGGACCTGCTGGAGACAACTTCTGAAGAGAAAGATCTAGGGGTCCTGGTGGACAGCAAAATGACAATGAGTAAAGAGTGTGCTCTTGTGGCCAGGAAGGCCAACGGAATCCTGGGCTACATAGGGAAGAGTGTGGCCAGCAGGTCAAGGGAAGTCATTCTGCCCCTCTGCTCTGCACTGGGGAGGCCACAACTGGAATCCTGTGTCCAGTTCTGGGCTCCCCAGTTCAAGAGGGACAGGGAACTACTAGAAAGAGTCCAGCGAAGGGCAACAAAGATGATTCAAGGATTGGAGCATCTCCCTTATGAGGAGAGACTGAGAGAGCTGGGACTCTTTAGCCTGGAGAAGAGAAGGCTGAGGGGAGACCTTATCAACACCTACAAGTATCTCAAGGGAGGGTTGAAGGAGGAGGGAGCCAGACTCTTTTCAGTGGTTCCCAGTGAGAGGACGAGGGGCAACGGGCACAAGTTGGAACATAAGAGGTTCCACTCAAATATGAGGAAAAACTTCTTCACAGTGAGGGTGGCAGAGCCCTGGAACAGGCTGCCCAGGGAGGGTGTGGAGTCCCCTTCCTTGGAGATTTTCAAGCCCCGCCTGGATGCTCCTGAGTAACATGCTCTGACAAGCTCTAGGCAATCCTGCTTCAGCAGGGGAGTTGGACTAGATGATCTCTATGGTCCCTTCCAACTCTAAAAAATTAAGTGAAATTCAGTGAAATTCAGGGTTTCCTCCCTGTTCCTTTATGGCTGAGGAGTACATCGAGACAAGACTCGATTCGATGAAAAGAATCGTCAAAACGTTACCAGGAATATGTCAAAATAGATAGTGCATTTTTCCTTTGTGGCAGGCCCAGCAGACTCAACCGATGGCCAACGCGGCGAGTTTTAACGCGTGCCCTTTGAATTTCAGGCTCTGGAATGTGACTTCGTGAGCGCGCACCTGCACGAGTGGATTGACTTGATCTTTGGCTACAAGCAGCAAGGTCCTGCTGCCGTGGAAGCTGTAAATGTCTTTCACCATCTCTTCTATGAGGGGCAAGTGGACATCTATAACATCAATGATCCCTTAAAAGAGACAGCTACCATAGGATTCATTAATAACTTCGGACAGATACCAAAGCAGGTAAACTCTTTGTAGAATTCTTATTTGCCAGGTGATGCTCAAATTCAAATGTACTGATATAGAAGGGGAAAGTGTTTCAGGAGTGAAACTTCCTGGGGGTGTTTTTCCATAAATATTCTTCCAGTGATGTGAAATCATTTATATTTCCATCGTAAATACAATGAAGATCAACTTTGGGCTTTGCTTGTGAGAGTAGAAATGTCTGTCTTTTTTCCCCTTTGCACTCTTAAAATAAAGGCGAAATGAATTATGATTCAACTCTAAAGCAGCATCAGAAAAAGAGAAGTGTGTTCCTGCTGCAAAGTCAAAGTGCAACTTCAAACTAATGCCTAGTGTTTAGGTATTTTAAGTTATCCTGTAATAAAATAATTTCTATAATAACTTCACGCTTCCTTTGTTTTACACCAGTCTCTGCCCGTTCTGCAGGGCTTGGGCACCTCTTGATTTGAAGACTCTATTGAAAAAAAAAATTAAAATGTAAATGAAGAGGATTGATTCTTGTAGGACAGCTATAGTTAAGGAGCTATATGGACACTTAAAATGTAAATTAAGAGGATTGATTCTTTTAAGACAGCTATAGTTAAGGAGCTATATGGACACATTTTCAGTGCAGCTTTAAAGTTTGTGTTCTCTTTAAGGAGTACATTAAATTACTAAATGTAATATTAAATTTAAAGTTTTACTCCGGGGTTTTAGGTTGGGGGGGTGATGGGGTTTTTCTCTCTCTCTTTCTTTTTTTTAGATTAGTCATTTCTTTAGGGATTTTTGGTTTCCGGTGAAACTTCAAAATATCCTCAATGAATTTTTCCAGTCCTAGGTCTGGTGGAAACCACAGATAACTGGGAACCCAACCCACGTGTTGGGAACTCCTAGACTACAGCAGCACCTCGTGTTTCAGGACAGCCACAGGGTGTTTCCTGGGGGGACCCACTGGCAGCTGTCTGTCCTTTATTGCTTGCAAAGAAGACTAAGAACTGCTCATCTGTCTTCTGTGGTGGCTTTTCTCCATTTCCTTCCTCGCTCTCTCTCAGTAACCTAGATGTGTAGTGGCTGTGGGGTTTTCTCCTCTTAATAATGACGAGTCACTGGGTTGTGATGATCATCAGACGTGCCCCAGCTAAAGCCAGGTGAACAGATAGAGACCAGGGTGGTGGAAGAGCCTTGCAGCTGAGGCTGGAGGTCTGCTTGAATTTTCAACTGCCTGTTGGATACAAACCTATAATGAGATACACCAGAATTTGCATGATGCTTTGCTAGAGGAATAGGCAGAATGCAATAAACTCAGGAAACTCAAAAAGCTCTTTCACTAAGTCATTTTTGGTGGCTACTGGACTGAGAACACTTCTTTATGTAACTGTAGACTTTTGCCTCAGACCCTCTGTGACTTTCCATGGGGGATCTAGGGCAGGCCATCCCAGTGATGTGGCTACTGGGCATGTTTTCACTCCTTTGCTGCGTGGAGATGAAACATGAGGACTACATCTTCTGTATCCCATCTCCTCCACCAGTAATGCCCCTCTTAGTTCTGTTCCCCATTTTAAAAACACCTTCCAGAGCTGGTGTTGCATTTGGAACCAGACTCTTGCAGACACTACGAGGGTCCCCATGGGGACAGCCAGCCCGGGATGGGTGGGAAGAGCAGAATGAGTAAACAAGAGGAGCGGTCGCTCAAAGGAGAACGTTCCTTCAGATGTTCCCTCTGGTTTGGATAGGCAAAGGGCTGTGAGGAAAATACCTTTCAGACTTGGAATTTCAGTTCTCCTTTCAGTGCTTGTCATAGCCTGTCTGTGAAAGAGTAATCGAAATATTACAAAATACCACTCGATATTTATATTTGTCATTTAGATATTGTAATACATAGCACCTACCATCCAAGATTTTTTTTATTATGAATTTGCCACCTGATATGACATTGATGGTCACGGCTTATTAGAAGCTCTGATCGGTTTGATTAACACTGAGATACCAGGGGTGGTCACTGAAGCAGCAAAATGGCAACTCAGTCACTCCTAATGAGTGACCTGAGAAGATAATCAGGTGCTAAAATGGCAACTCAGTCACTCCTAATGTCCGCAAGTTTGCGGACGACACCAAGCTGTGTGCTAAGATGGGTTTCTTGTGCATTATTGTTGTTATGTGGCCCAATTCCATGCCCACCCTGTTCTTTGGTAGCCCATTCGCCTCCAAGCGCGTGACCTGCTGTTTGTGGGGGACAGTTTGTTCCAAAGCCAAAAGTCGTTTGCCTCCAACCTGCTGGGGGACAGTTTGTTCCAAAGCCAAAAGTCACCTTTCAATTTAGGTTAGAACTTAATTCCATCTTATGCATCAGCTTTGAGATTTTTTTGCTTGCCTTGCTTCAACTGCTTTCGTAACTGGAGGTAGCTCTAAATATATTTTATTTGTTATGTACTTGTTGGATTTCTTATTGTTTGTTGAAGTCCTATTGAAATGGTTGCCATAAAGTATTAGTGATTACTGAGAAGAGTTAAGTAGCCTCTGCTGACCTGCAGAATTTTGAGAAGGTAAATGGGATGTACTGATGACCTCTTTATGCTCGTGCTCTTGTAAACCCCTAATTTTTCACGATGATTCATTTCTTAATGAATTTCAGCTCTTCAAAAAACCACATCCACCCAAGCGTGTTAGAAGCCGACTGAATGGAGAGACTGTGGGAACCTCTGTGCCCCCTGGTTCCACAAGTGACAAGATTTTTTTCCATCATTTGGACAACCTGAGGCCATCTCTTGCCCCAGTGAAAGGTAGACTGTAAACCCACAGTAATTATTCCTGTTTCTTTGCCCAGAACATTGAGAGTTTCAGCAAAATCGTTCTTTTCCATTTTTTGCTTAGTTTTAATGCTCTTAATGCCTGCACTTTTGTGAGAGAGAGAAATTTTAAATATCCTAATATCGTAAGATTATGTTCTCAGCTATGTTAAAATGTACTCGGGAAGCACCAAATCTGTGCTGGTTTAATACGACTTTTTAAAAATAGATAAAATTGGACCTAAGCACTTCTTTAAAGTCTTAATTTAACAAACAGTACTCAGGATGCATTGCTTCTGGGCCTGCGATAGCCTCAGTTTTTGTGACTTTTGTAGCAGAAGGATTCTGTATCGCAGTGCTGAGAAATACTGAGAGATGTTGGGAGGAAAAGGGTGGGGTTTGTAGCTGCACTGAGATGAAAAAAGGTAGGTTTTGACTTCATAGCTGAACTTGGATTGGACAAAAATTAATTGTCTGTGAGGTGGGTGGATGCTGTACAGTGATTTCTTTCCTAGTTACAGAATGACATGGGGTTGGAAGGGAGCTCTGGAGATCATCTAGTCCAACCCCCTGCCAGAGCAGGGCCACCCAGAGCAGGTCCCACAGGAACGTGTCCAGGTGGGTTTGGAATGTCTCCAGAGAAGGAGACTCCACCACCTCCCTGGGCAGCCTCTTCCAAGGCTCTGCCACCCTCACAGCAAAGAAGTTCCTCCTCATCTTTAGGCGGAACTTCTTATGTCCAAGTTTGTGCCCATTTCCTCTTGTCCTGTCCCTGGGCACCACTGAAAAAAGACCAGCCCCATCCTCTTGACACCTTTCCTTGAAGTATTTAAAAGCCTTGATCAGATCCCCCCTCAGCCTTCTCTTCTCCAGACTCAAAAGACCCAAGTTCCTCAGCCTCTCCTCGTCAGGGAGATGCTCCAGGCCCCTCATCCTCTCTGTAGCCTCTGCTGTCCCCTCTCCAACAGTTCCCTGTCCTTCTGGAACTGGGGAGCCCAGAACTGGTCCCAGTGCTCCAGATGGGGCCTCCCCAGGACAGAGTAGTTGATGAAATGAATCTGTGCTGCCTGCTGGAAAGGGAGAAGGAGGTACTATATAACACAGGACATAGCAGGGCTACACTCTAAGACAGGCAATTAGAAAGCACTAATCTCTATTTGCAAAGCTTGGGGGAAAATAGGTAGGACACCACAGGCTGTAGTCAGGAACGTCATCTGTGGAAGGCTTGGCCAAGGTGTTGGAATTGATATCAAAAACTTACTTTAGCTTGTGCTGAAAATGGTACAATGGCTTCCAACATCTCGTGCAGCGTTGCAGGTGGGATTGGAGCCATCTGTGATCCTCGGGGTGTTCTCACCACCACTTCATTTGTGAGGAACGTAGCAAAAGTTGCCATCACTGCAGCTGAAACAGAGATTTGTGTACCATAGCCCATACGGAGATCCTGCTTTTGGAGAGCATCAAGTATTTAATGTGATCAAACAGCATCTGTCTGTGCTAGCAATAAAGCAACCCTGTCTTTTTTTTTTTTTTTTAGAGCTCAAGGAGCCGGTGGGACAGATCGTGTGTACAGATAAAGGCATTTTGGCAGTAGAGCAGAATAAGGTTCTTATCCCACCCACCTGGAATAAAACTTTTGCCTGGGGCTATGCAGACCTCAGCTGTCGACTGGGTACCTACGAGTCGGACAAGGTTTGTCATCTGCAATTGGTTTCAGTGCTGAATGGACCAAAACCAATTAGTACTCAATAATGGGGAAAGAAAAAAAAAAAAAAATCTTAAAAATGGAAATTTGTTTCACGTGCGACTGAAATCACCTTGTACTGCATATGTTTTATTGCTTCCTATCTGGGGGGCTTCATCAGAACACCGGCACGATGACATAGAGCAATTAATAATATTTTTTTTACCAGGTCTGCAAAACATGAATGAAATAAATCTGTGCATTAAAGCTCATTTCTCTCGGGAGGCATCTTATGGCAGAGGCTGGAATTGCTTCTGTTAAGGGTGTTTAATGGGCCAGCATGCAGGGGGGGCACTCGGGTTTGGTGGGGGTTTTTTTATCCTACCAAAAAACTAATTCTGCAAGTAATTCGTCTTTGTTTTCTTTATTTTTAGGCAGGAATTGTTTATGAGTGTTTGTCAGAATGGGGTCAAATACTGTGTGCCATTTGCCCCAACCCCAAACTAGTTATCACTGGAGGAACAAGCACAGCGGTGTGCGTGTGGGAAATGGGCATCTCCAAAGAAAAAGCTAAAGCCCTTACACTGAAACAGGTAAAATACAATAAAAGTGCCTTTTACGTAAATTATTGTAAAAGCTCCAAGAAATTATGAAGGGGGTATTGCTCACCTAGCAAGCTTTGAAACCATGAGTCCAGCAGACCTTTGGAGAACTGGGTAATCGAGCTGTTGATCTGCATTGAAAGCGGGCAAAATGCGTCTTTAAAATTACATTTTAAGGATGTTTGATGACAGAGAGCTTTTGGGAGAGATGGAGAGTTTGGTAGTGATGTTAGCAAAATTATACAGGTGTGTTTAGTGAATTCACCTGCTTTATTGTAGCGTTGTATGAAAACTCTGCCAGGGAGGGCAGCAGACGCTGCCTTAAAGATTTATTTTCCTTTTTTTATTTTTTTTTAATTACTTTTTTCTTTTAAAATGCATATATTTAAATTAGGCTTCTGTGCAAAACTTTGCTCTTCCTGGCAGAGGTGTTTGTGGAGCAGAGTATGCTTGTTGAGGGTCACCTGAAGTTGTTCTTGCTTTGTTAATTTGAAACATCAGCTTTTAATCTAACAGGAGAGCCCCTACGCTTTGAAGTCAGTGCAGAGCAAGTCTTGTGTTTACTAAAAAAAACTTCCAAAAAATCCCACCTGCTACCAAAGCATAAAAAGAACCCTCCCAGCTACCTCAAAATTATTCTGGAAGCTGTGTAGGTTGTTAAGTGTTAACTGTTCCTGGTAGGACTTTAATAGCAGGGCTTTTCCTGGAGGAAAGCTTCCACTCAAGAGAAGAAATTCAGAGAATTAATTTAATAACTCCCCTTGCATGGTTTCCATCAGCTGTCCAAGGCCGGGTTTCCAAAGCCTTTTACTTAAGAACAATGCAAGATAAAACACTGTATCTTGAATTTCAGGGCAGCAGGTTGAAGGCTGTTCACTGTACTTTAGCCAATGATTTGTGACTGAGTAAAGTTGCAATAACCTGAGTCTATTCCAGACTCCTGTCCCGAAGGTGAGGTCAAACCTCAAATGTAAAAGCAGGGTCTAATACAAATAGATGCTTGTAATTTTCTCCTTCTTCCAGTTGACTTTGCCTTTTTGGCTGCATCTCTTTCTTGTCTCTTTTTATCTTTTCTCAAACGTCAACAGAAGTTTATACAGGAGGCATTTTATATTAACAAACAATTTCTGGTTTTAGAATGTAATTTCAGGTGCACCCTGGAACACGTACTGACCCTGTAAATAAGTTATTGATGCAGAATGGGTTGGACATCTTTTTCTTTTTTTTTTTTTTTCTTCAGTAGAAGTCTATACATAAACATTAGAGCCTTAAAATTTGGGTTTGCGAGAGTGCTTTTTAAACGGAAAAAACTATTCCTTCTATCATTTTCAATTAGGAAAACAGTTGCCAACTGAATACTTGTAAGTCATTTGCAACCTGTGTTAGGATATTCATGTTTACGTTACCTGAATCTTCTCAGATGAGTGGATTTAATGCTGTAATTCTTGTGCTCTGTCTTGATTGCAGCTTATTCCTCCTGCCTTTTGTTTTGCAGGCGTTGCTGGGTCACACTGACACTGTCACCTGCCTGACAGCGTCGCTGGCCTATCACATCATTGTGAGTGGGTCACGGGACCGCACCTGCATCATCTGGGATTTGAATAAACTCTCTTTTCTGACACAGCTTCGAGGTCACAAGGCTCCAGTTTCAGCTCTCTGTATAAACGAATTAACGGTAAGAACCAAATACCGTTGACCAACGGGCAAGGGGAGCAGTAGCAAGAGTCAGAACTTGTTAAAACCAAAGAAAAATAAGCTTGGCTCTTCTCTTCTCTTGTATAACTCATCTGGAAACTAATTAGCTGGCGTGGGGAATTATTTGAGTCTTCTGTCATGAGACACAGGAGGGTTTGTTCCTTGCGGAGCGGCTTGAGTTCAGAAGGGCTTATTCCCAGCCCTTCAAAGTGGGCTGTCCAACCTGCCACGGGGACTAAGACAAGATATTTTGATATGAGACCTTGGTTGACTTCTGTTCTTTTACGCTTCATTTAAAGGCAGCAGAACACACCTTGGATGAAGCTGCGTTGACAATCGTAGTGGAAACAGACATATCCTCAGAGCTTGTCTCCCTGGTGGCCCTATACGTTATGGGTTGCCATTTATCCAGCTCAAAGAATTGGCCTGAGTTGAAACTCTTCTGTAGGTAGTCTGCGAGGGCTGGATTGAACGTGTTGCAACTGGAGCAGATGTAGTGGTTTGAAATCAAGACAAAACAGGGCTGTATCGCAAGGAGGGGGTAGCAAGAGGCAGGGTTTGCTCCCAGCTGCCAGTGGTCTGGTGGTTGTCGTGTTGCCCATGTTTTAGACTGCAGCTCCCATTTCCCCTCTGTGCTACTTTGGACCATCTCTTGCTCTTTTCCCAATAAGGAAGCTAATGACAGGCTGGATGGATGGGCCAAGGCCAATGGGATGAGGTTCAACAAAGCCAAGTGCCGGGTCCTGCCCTTGGGTCCCACCAACCCCCTGCAGCGCTCCAGGCTGGGGGCAGAGTGGCTGGAGCTGCCTGGCAGAAAAGGACCTGGGGGTGTTGGTGGACACCGGCTGAACAGGAGCCAGCAGTGTGCCCAGGTGGCCAAGGAGGCCACCAGCATCCTGGCCTGTGTCAGGAGCAGCGTGGCCAGCAGGAGCAGGGCAGTGATGGTGCCTCTGGACTGGGCACTGGTGAGGCCTCACCTCGAGGGCTGTGTTCAGTTCTGGGCCCCTCACCACAAGAAGGACATTGAGGGGCTGGAGCATGTCCAGAGGAGAGCCACCAAGCTGGGGAGGGGTCTGGAGAACAAGTCCTACGAGGAGAGGCTGAGGGAAGTGGGCATGTTGAGTTTGGAGAAGAGGAGGCTGAGGGGAGACCTCCTTGCCCTCTCCAGCTCCCTGAAAGGAGGGTGGAGAGAGGTGGGGGTTGGCCTCTTCTCCCAAGGGAATCATGAGAGGAGCAGAGGAAATGGTCTGAAGTTGGGGCAGGGGAGGTTTAGATGAGATCTTGGGAAGAATGACTTTGCTGAGAGGGTGGTCAGGCCCTGGAAGGGCCTGCCCAGGGAGGTGGTGGGGTCACCATCCCTGGAGGGATTGAAGAAAGGTGTAGCTGTGGCATTTGAGGGCATGCTCTAGTGCCCGAGAAGGATTTTTTTGGTTAAGTTTGGTTTTTCTTTGGTTTTTTTTTTTTTGTGGTTGGACTCAATCTCTGGGTTGTGTCTGTCTGTGGGTGGGTGGGATTTTTTTGGTTAGGTTTGGGTTTTGTTTGGTTTTTTTTTTTTTGTGGTTGGACTCAATCTCAAAGGTCCCTTCCAACCATGAATATTCTGTGATTTAAGGGGGTACATATTTGTGAAAAAGAGAGGAGTCAACATGAGCAGAGGCTTTGAAAAACTGAGAAGGGAAAGCACTGAAAATATGCTGTTGGATTGTTATGCTGTGAAAAGTGGAGGAATTGGTCTATTCATATACTGTGAACACAACAAATAGGTTGCTGCTACGTCTGGTTTTCTATGTACAATTAAAAAAAAAAAAAAGCATATCATCCTAAATATATATTTAGGTGGCCAACTCAGCTTGAATAGAACTTCCTGAAAAGTGCCAGCCTTGGTGGCTGAACTTGGGTTATGAATGAACCTGGCTTGTATTTCTTTTGCTGAAGAAAAGCTGAAGAGTTGTGTTGAAATACGGAGGCGTTCTTTGTCTTTGCAGGGGGATATTGTATCATGTGCTGGCACTTATATCCACGTGTGGAGCATCAACGGCAGCCCTACAGCAAGCAGAAACACTTTCACTGGCCGAAGCCAGCAGATCATGTGTTGCTTTGTGTCAGAGATGAACGAGTGGGACACCCAGAACGTCATTGTAACGGGACATTCCGACGGAGTTGTCCGGGTAAGTACCAGGAATCACTGTTGGGGAAAAAGAAGTTGACTCCTTAAGTATGAAATCCACCTGAACAATTAGTCCTGCAGGAGGAGGGAATCCAGATGGTGCTGGAACCAGCTGTGCCATTTCTGCACGGGGGGCTGCACCGTGTCCTGTCCACACGTTAGATGGACGTTGAAGAATTTATGGAAAGCTCTTTCAGTGAGCTGGCATTCCTATGCAGTCTTTCAGTTTTCTTTCTCCTTTTTCATCCCATTGGGATGGGGTAACTAGCAGTAGTCAGCAGCGTACAGCCTGGAATGGGCTGCCCAGGGAAGGGGTTGAGGCACCATCCCTGGAGGTGTTCAAAAGACGGGTTGACATGGTCCTCAAGAGTATGGTTTAGTGATTTATTTATTTTATTTCTTATTTATTTTTTTGTCAGAGTGAGGTTGATGATCTTTAAGGTCCCTTCCAACCTAGATGATTCTACAATTCTATGTTTCTATGATTATTTTCCTTCCTGCTCAGTTTTGGTCACCAGCTTTTGTACCAGGAGATTGTAGTTTTCATTCACCGTTTTTGTTCTACGCACCTTGAGACAATTCATTTTACTGCCTATAGAAAGAAAAGTGGAACTTGGTGTCCTGCTGGTCGGATTGCTGCGTGGAGTGGATTATTTTTTTTTTATTTGAACAGCTAAGATGTTATAAATGACAGCACAAGGCTTTGTTCACTTGTGATCCAGGCATGAACACTTGTCCTCTTATAGTATCTAACCCCCCAAAACGGGGTTTAGGGTGGAGATGTGACCTGCCTGTCACACTCCCAGGGCAAACTCAGTTCTCCTAAGCCATCTCAACTCTGGAAGTAGCTGAGAAGAAAGCTAGGAGTTGAGTCCTTGCCACTTTGCTTGTCTCCTATCCCTCCAGTTCTGGCGGATGGAGTTTTTGCAAGTACCAGAAACACCAGCTCCAGAGCCTGCGGAGATGCTGGAAATGCAAGAGGATTGTCAGGAAGCACAAATAGGTATGTCTCCTGACAAGTGTTTTGTATTTGCCTTTTCTCTGATCCTCCCCACACGTAGGTAGAACCACATGGTGTGCATGTACGCTGTATCCAGCGCGGAGTAGACGAGGGGGATTTTGTCCCAAAAGACAAGAGACATCCAGTGGGCACAATAAATAAAGCATCTGAGTTCTTGGTTCACCACCTTGCTTATGGTAGTTTCATACTGCTGTTGAGTAAGAAAAAAAAAAATCATACTCATCATAGCTTGTTTTCTGTGAAGATTGAACTTCTCTGTGTGTGGTTGTTTCTGCCGTTGGGAAACCCAACGGATGCTTCCATTTTCCGAAACTTGGATTTTTGTTATTTTTTTATTATTATTTTGAAATGGAATCATAGCAGCAGAGTTAAAAAAATCTGCTGATGGAACAGCATGCTGTTTAGACAAGCAGTGCTGACCATATCGTTCTCCCCTCTCAGAAGATTTTGGTCCCTGCTAGATGGGTGTTTTATTATAGCCATCTCCTCTTCCTCTTGCCCTCTTCGTATTGAAGATACGACCTGGATTTGGATCTGGATCACATAATGCTCATTAGTATGAGTATTTGCTTGAAAATTTTCCTCATTGTGTCTATCATAGCCTACCTCGGGTGGACTATCATAGGAAATCATAGGATATCACCTCTCTAGGACCCGAGAGGTGATCATCCCCCTGCACTGGGCACTGGTGAGACCCCACCTTGAGGGCTGTGTCCAGTTTTGGGCCCCCTACCACAAGAAAGACATTGAGGGGCTGGAGCGGGTCCAGAGAAGGGCAACGAAGCTGGTGAGGGGTCTGGAGCACAAGTCTTATGAGGAGAGGCTAAGGGAGCTGGAGGTGTTCAGCATGGAGAAGAGGAGGCTGAGGGGAGACCTTCTTGCTCTCTACAACTCCCTGAAAGGAGGGTGTAGCCAGGGGGGGTCGGGCTCTTCTCCCAAGTTACAGATGATAGGACAAGGGGAAATGGCTTCCAGCGGCAACAGGGGAGGTTTAGACTGGATATTTGGAAAGAATTCTTCACAGAGAGAGTGGTCAGAGACTGGAATAGGCTGCCCAGGGAGGGGGTTGAGTCCCCATCCCTGGATGTGTTTAAGAGCCGTTTAGATGTGGTGTTGGGGGAGATGGTGTAGGGGAGAACTTTAGAGTAGGGTAGATGGTTGGACTCGATGATCCCGAGGGTCTCTTCCAGCCTAGATGATTCTGTGAAATAGCTTCAGCTAAGGACTGCTGTTTTCTGACAGACCGGTGTAAAAAAACATGAATAGTGGGACTCCTGGCAGGAGCTGAATCCCTGCAAAGCTTTGAGATGCCTGCACGCCGTGTCCCCCTGCTCGTGCTGTGGTGGTACCTGTTGGGTTGTAGGTGGTGCAGCAGCAGAGTAGGGAAAAAGATGAGGCTCTAAACAGCCTTCCTAACAATGTCTTCTCTCCCGTTGGGTGAATCCAGGGCAGGAAGCCCACGAAGAGGACAGCAGTGACTCCGAGGCAGATGATCCATGCGTAGGCCAGGACACCAAGCTGCAGGAGAGCCAGAGCCAACCCAGCAGCACCAGCCACAGGCCTCGGTCGGCATCCAACAGAGCGGCGGCGGCGTGGTCAGCAGACAGCGGCTCCGATGACTCCAGGAGGTGGTCAGACCAGCTCAGCTTGGACGAGAAAGACGGCTTTATCTTCGTGAACTATTCTGAGGGACAAGCAAAAATGCATCCCCATGCTCAGGTCAACCACCCACACCCCAGCTACGCCGAAGCACGGCACTACAGCAAGCTCAAACCAGGTAAAAGAAATGAGGCACGCTTTGAGGGTTGTGGAGAGGTGGGGGTCGGTCTCTTCTCTCAAGTCACAGGCGACAGGACGAGAGGAAATGGCCTCAAGTTGCTCCAGGGGAGGTTCAGGCTGGATATTAGGAAAAATTATTTCACCAAAAGGGTTCTCAGCCATTGGAATGGGCTGCCCAGGGAGGTGGTTGAGGCCCCATCCCTGGAGGTGTTCAAAAGCCGGGTTGATGTAGTGCTGGGAGGTCTGGTTTAGTGATGATGCTCCTTGTTTGTTGTGTGGGTGTCTATTTTTGTCAGTTGGGTTGATGGTTGGACAAGATGATCTTTAAGGTCCCTTCCAACCTAGAAGATTCTGTGATTCTGTAACATGCTCTGACGAGCTCTAGGCAATCCTGCTTTAGCAGGGGAGTTGGGCTAGATGATCTCTGTGGTCCCTTCCAACTCTAAAAAAATTCAGTGCAATTCCTCTGTCAGATAAAGGCACTGTCAGCACGGACCCATGAGGCAGTCTCTCTCTGTCCTCTTTCAATTCCAAAAATGGTCAGTGAAGAGAAAAAAAAAATGCAGGCAAAGGTGTGGGTGGTGTTCAAGCTTTTCCTGAGAAGTTGTGGTCAGTTCACCCAGCGAAGCCACCCCCTTTGCCTCCACTACCAGAGCCACCTGCAGCAGGATGGTGGGGAGAATAGAAAGGACAAAAGCAAGGGAACTCGGGAGTCAGGGTAAGGATGGTCTCATGAGCAAAGGGAAGAGGAAGACAAAGCAAGGGATGGGAAAGGCAATCACTCGCCACAAGCAGAACGATTAACGGCCCAGCAAATGGTTGCCTTCCCCCAAAACCTCTCCTCTCAGTTTTACTGCTGAGCATGGCTTCAAGCTGCAACAGGGGAGGTTTAGATTGAACATTAGGAAAGAATTTTTCACCGAAAGAGTGGTCGGGCATTGGAACAGGCTGCCCAGGGAGGGGGGGGAGTCCCCATCCCTGGCTGTGTTTAAGGGCCGTTTAGATGCAGTGCTGAGGGACATGGTGTAGGGGAGGACTGTGTAGAGTAGGGGAGATGGTTGGACTCGATGATCCCAAGGGTCTCTTCCAACCTAGACAATTCTATGATTCTATGGTGTTATACAATGCAGCATGTGACCTTCTGAGAAGTAATGACAGTTGGAAATCTTTAAAAAGAGAATAGATTGTAAAAAATAAATAAATAAATAAATAAAATGAAGCTATCCCAATCCTGGCAGGCTTTGGGGCAGGGCTTCCCTGTGGATGTCACCATTCTCTTCTACAGCTCCCAGCTGGACTCAGAGAAATGAGAAGCTCTGTGTGTTGTTTTGTAGCCTCTCCTTTCTTAACGTGCACTGGGGAGTGGTTGAAAAATGTTTTTTCCCCTAACTTGAGTTAAAGAGTTTAAAGAGTTTTTCCTCTAACTTGAGTTAGAGAGAGTCCTCTCTGGGGGGAGATCTTTTTTCTTTCCGTAAAGTCACGGGTACAGGTATGTTGGGGGAGGAGGGAGCAAAAATGAGAACAGAGGAAACTTTTTTTTTCCCCCTACCGCTTCTCGCTCATTTCTAGGCTACAGATGGGAGCGTCAGTTGGTGTTCAGGAGCAAACTCACTATGCACACGGCATTCGATCGCAAAGACAACGCACACCCGGCCGAGATCACCGCCCTCGGCATCTCCAAGTGAGTAGTAGTAGAGGGACTTGAGTGAGTAGCTCCAGAGGGACTCCATGCCGTTGGTAGGAAGCCCTACCAACCACCCGTTGTTCTTGGTGTGATGCTGTTTTGTCATCTCTCTGTGCTGCCATCCAGTGTGACCTGGGCAGAGAAGAAGAACCTTATGAGGTTCAACAAGGGCAAGTGTAGGGTCCTGCACCCGGGGAGGAAGAACCCCAGGCACCGGTGTAGGTTAGGGGTGGACCTGCTGGAAAGCACTTCTGAGGACCTGATGCTGTTTTGTCATCTCTCTGTGCCACCATCCAGCGTGACCTGGACAGGGGGAGAGCTGGGCAGAGAAGAAGAACCTCATGAGGTTCAACAAGGGCAAGTGTAGGGTCCTGCACCCGGGGAGGAAGAACCCCAGGCACCAGTGTAGGTTAGGGGTGGACCTGCTGGAAAGCACTTCTGAGGAGAAGGATCTGGGGGTCCTGGTGGACCATAAACTCTCCATGAGCCAGCAATGTGTCCTTGTGGCCAAGAGGCCAATGGGATCCTGGGCTGCGTAGGGCAGAGTGTGGCCAGGAGGTGGAGGGAGGTCATTCTCCCCCTCTGCTCTGCACTGGGGAGGCCACAACTGGAATCCTGCCTCCAGTTCTGGGCTCCCCAGTTCAAGAGGGACAGGGAACTGCTGGAGAGAGTCCAGCGAAGGGCAACAAAGATGGAGGGATTGGAGCATCTCCCTGATGAGGAAAGGCTGAGAGAGCTGGGACTCTTCAGCCTGGAGAAGAGAAGGCTGAGGGGAGACCTTATCAATGCTGACAAGTATCTCAAGGGTGGGTTGAAGGAGGATGGAGCCGGACTCTTTTCAGTGGTTCCCAGTGACAGGACGAGGGGCAACGGGCACAAGCTGGACCATGGGAAGTTCCACTCCAATGTGAGGAAGAACTTCTTTGGGGTGAGGGTGGCAGAGCCCTGGCAGAGGCTGCCCAGGGAGGGTGTGGAGTCCCCTTCTCTGGAGATCTTCAAGCCCCACCTGGATGCTCCTGAGTGATGTGCTCTGGGCAGCCCTGCTTTGGCAGGGGAGTGGGACTGGATGATCTCTAGAAGGTGACAAACTGTGACAAATCTGTGATTTTGTCTAGGGCAGCCTTGTTCAAGGCCTGAGATAAAAAACAATAAAAATACTAAAATAATTAGACGTATTGGACTGAGGGATAAAAAAAGGACTGAGATAAAAAAAAATAAAAATACTAAAATAATTAGACGTATTGAGCTGCGTTATGTTCCACGGAGTGTTGTGACAGCTCCGTTTCTCCATCAGACCAGGCTAAGGTGCACACGAGTTACGGTGCCAGAGCTGTTGGCTGGAAAACTTGCTTTTTTTTGTTCCTTCTTGCAGGGATCACAGCAGAATTCTGATTGGGGACGGCCGAGGCAGAGTGTTCAGCTGGTCTGTGAGCGACCAGCCCGGCCGCTCAGCAGCAGATCACTGGGTGAAGGACGAGGGGGGGGACAGCTGCTCGGGCTGCGCCGTCAGGTTCTCGCTCACCGAGAGGCGTCACCACTGCAGGAACTGTGGACAGCTCTTCTGCCAGAAGTAAGCCCACCCAGAGCCTCCTTTGGGGGTGTTGGGTGCCACAGAACTCTGCTGAAAGACTGAGGTTTCCCTTTACCAAAACACAACCGATGAATCAAAGCCCATCAGAACTCCCCAAACTTTCAGGGAGGAATTGGAAAAGGCAGACCAGCTCCTCACTGGAACAGGTTGCCCAGGGAGGTGGTTGAGGCCCCATCCCTGGAGATATTCAAGGAGAGGCTCGATGAGGCCCTGGGCAACCTGGTCTGGTTGGGGGTGTCCCTGCTGACTGTGGGGAGGTGGGACTAGATGACCCTTGGAGGTCCCTTCCAGCTTCTATGATTCTATGATTCTATGATTAATAAACCCAGTTTGCAAGACAGGTATCAGGAGAGAATGAAATCTGGGAAAAACCCCAGAGAAATGAACTTGGCAAAGGAAAAAAACCACCAAAAAAAACCCCAACCAACCAAACTTCTTTTGCAGCCACCACTTGTTCTTGTCGTTCTCCAAGCAACCTGGTCAAAATGTGAACTGTTATGCAGGACTAAGGGTGCTGATTTAGTAGCAGGCAGGAAAGTGGATGACACAGGGGGGATGTATGTGAGCTGAGGTGGGAGTGGGGTCTCTTCTCTGGTCCACTGGGTCAGGCACGGTATTTCCAGTTTCCTCTCTGTAGCTATAATTGGGGTCTAAACTGGTGACAAGAGCTCCCTCTCACCCAGAGTCTTCACACTGGGGTGATCATACCTTTCCAGTTCTTCCTCTGCCACGCTGGGTCGCGTGTCCTCCTGGTCCACTAGGTCAGGCATGGTATTTCCAGTTTCCTCTCTGTAGCTATAATTGGGGTCTAAACTGGTGACAAGAGCTCCCTCTCACCCAGAGTCTTCACACTGGGGTGATCATACCTTTCCAGTTCTTCCTCTGCCACGCTGGGTCGCGTGTCCTCCTCAAGTGAAGTTTGGAGAGTTCTCTGGTCTTTGAAAGCATCATGAGAATGTCCACACCTGGGATGGAAGATGGCCAGGTGAGGAGAGGACCTGTGTTTTTTTCACAGCCTTGTTTGTTTCTCCTCTGCAGGTGCAGCAGGTTTCAGTCGGAAATCAAGCGTCTGAAGATCTCGTCGCCGGTCAGGGTCTGCCAGAACTGCTTCTACAACCTGCAGCACGAGCGGGGTTCAGAGGAGGGGTCCAGAAATTGATGGGGTCCCAGCAAACAGAGACAACCCCCCCCATCCCACCCCACCCCAGCCCAGCCCCCGCCGTCGCCCCGAGGACTGGGGAGAGTATCGTGCGCTGATCGGAAGGGATTCAGAATATTGTCTGTTTACACTTAAGTTTTTACTGAGTTTTAAGCACTAAAAAGTGAAAAAAAAAAAAAGGGATCATTGAATTGATTTGTGTTGACAGAAGGTAAACGAGGCTGAGGGCATCATGAAGTGAAGAGCAAGGCCCAGGAAGACATGGTTAATAACCACAGATCCAATAGAACTGTCAACCCCTAAACCTGCGTTGACGTGGCTGTCCAGAAAATCCTCACTTATCCTAAATAACCCGTTCTTGTCTTGTTTTGTAGAGCTAGTCATCTTTATCGGGGGGGAGGGGGAGGGGAAGGCTTTTTAGAAGAATAGTTGTAAATCTGCCTTCTTCGCGAGCAAACTGTGTATATTGTAAATAGGTATAATGGCCTTTTTATCTAAATATGAACTTAACTGCCTGTTACATGGGACTTCAGATTAACCACTAGACTTCTATACTTTGTGTGGCATCTTTATCTCATCTATCGATTTAAATACGAATGTTTAAAAAAACAAACAAACAAAAAAAACAAACAAAAAAAAGAAAAACCAGAAAACTCGAAGGCATTATGCGTTTTTCTGTTAAAAATCCAGTCTGTGCATGTTTGTTCTTTCAGTTGCCCACAGTATCTTAATTTAAGTAAGGCTATTCATAGAATTACATGGATTTTTTCAAAAGAAACCATTTTTGAGACTAGGACTTGGAGTATTTTATCCTAGCTGTAAGATAACCAGGAACTAAACTGTACACTTGTGTTGCATTTTATACCAAACTCTTGACCACCTCAGTGTTGTTCATATTTAATGAGGCCTCTTTTATACATATATGTCAGAGCTGCGGTTTTGTTAATTACTTGATGTTCATTAGCAGCTGATTCATGCAGTGCAAGAACCAGCTTTTAACTTCTTTAGTCCCTAGCAATTGGCTGGCGTATAGATACAGAGCCAATTCCTCCTGCCTAAAATTGAACTGCTGTTGTCCTGTAGCTTGTTTGCAAAAAAAAAAACCCCAATTTCTGGAACAATGAGGCGTTGCTCTGGATGATAGGGTGATATTGGTCAGGTCAGAAACGCTTCCAAGAGCTGTCTTCATGTTTCAGCCCGTGGCATCAACCTGAGGACAAGTAGATTTCCCTTGCGGTTTTTAAGTTAATTCCGATAACGAATTTAATTGCAGTATTTTTTTACTACTCTCTCGTTTGTTTTGCACTACGTGTGGGATGAAGTAGATGAACACCGATGCCCGCTGGGGTTTGGAAGGTGAGCGTTGGATAGACCCCGTGGATTTAATTTCCCAACCAGGTGGGAAATTGCTGGTGGGTTTTGGGGGGAGGGGGGAGCAGGCTGGTGTGTTTGGTTTGGTTTGGTTTTTTTACCGTAGGTGTATATATATTTTGTAAATGGGTGACAAAGAGATACCTGGTGTGTTTGGTTTGGTTTGGTTTGGTTTTTTACCGTAGGTGTATATATTTTGTAAATGGGTGACAAAGAGATCTAGGTCTAGGTATATTCACCGTGGTGAGGATGTGACCCAAACCAGCAGAAGACAGGTGGCCCTGCTCTTTCCCTCTGTTGGTCCTTCAGTTGGTGTCTTCACTCCAGGTGGTGGTGGTGTCCTTCCCTTGGAATGGTTTGGACAGGCTCTGGCCCTGGACCAGCACTGCCCTGGGAGATGCCAGACCCTCCGTGGTGGGGTGGGAGCTCCTTCCAGGAGGTCCTTGGTGCTGTGGGGACACACCTGTCTTCTCCTGATTTGAGCTTCTAGCAGTGAATCATTTGTTCATCCCAACCACTTAACCCCGGTATCACATGTTTATGCACTGAAGGGTTAAATACCGTATTTTGATACATGTTTGTTTATTATGTACGTGCTGGTCTGTAAAATGAGATATTTTTTCCTGTTTTTGGTATGTGTCCTAAGTCCCCCAATTGAACAGAAAGGCTTCTCCTTGCACGCTGTTGGGTAAATGCAGGTTGGTTGAGATGATCTGACCCAAACAGATCCCCTCGGATCCAAAGAGTGGTGACTGAGTGGAGACACCAGGACAGGTTTGTCCCTCAAAAGGGGGAGGAGGTCCTCAGTGAGCGTGTGCAGGATTTCTGTGTTCTCTCTAACGTTGCCTTCACCCTTCCCAAAACGATGCGAAACCAGCAGAGTTCAGAAGATCAGGCTTAGCGGCCTTTAACGTTTTTGGTTTGAAGGAAAGGCCGTTTTAACAACTCTCAAATGCCTTTTTGAGTCCAACAGGGATTTCTTCCCCCTGCCCTCCAGATTTCACATCAGCCCCAAATTTAAAGAAGTCTTCTTTCCCTACGGATTGGAACTCATATGGCTGCGTAACCAAACCCCAACAGAAGCCAGGATTGTGACAGTGACACTGTCCTAGTGGAAACACTGTGTAGGACCAACGTGGGGTGGTGAAGGGAGTGGGACCATCAGGGAAGAGGGTGGTCAACTGCATCCAGCTGCATCAGCAGGTTTTACGGGGCTGTGCTTTCCATGTTTGGCATGGAAAAAATCAAGGTAATTACTAATTACAGTTGCGTAGCGTAGAGGATAGTCGGGGTTTACGTTGTGCAGGTGGAATCACCACAGCCTCCCTTCTTGACCCTTCAGACCCTGGTGGTGCTGGGAGGAGGTGAAGGGGGAAGAACCAGACTTACTGTGTTCCCTCTGGCAGCTGGTGCTGTGGGCAACTGCTTTGTTCACTTGGGGAGTGGGTTTTTGAGGTGTTTTGTTTTCCCCCGTTTCTTTCGAGCTTCTAATGCAAACACTTGCTTTGTTTTTCCCTGTAAAAAAAAAAAAAAAAGACTCTGTCGAGCAAAACTATACTCATGTACACTAACATTAGTAGGCTGTATTCTCTGCAAGTACCTCACATGTCTTCTCCTGCCTTGTTCTCTGTAGTGTACTGACCCATGTACTCCTGCCATGCCTGTGTAGTGTAACGTCACGCTGATGAGAGGGGGTTGGCTGCCTCCGGCCGACAGTCATCAGTCCGATAGCAAAACTCTTTAGATAAGTTATTTTGCACTTTCTTATGTATAAAATGGGTAGAAACTTATATTTGCTTTGTATCATTTAAGAGACTCAACTTTCGTTTCGGTAAATGAACCGTGTATAAAATATTTATGCAGTTAAAACTGTTTTTAGAAAGTATTTTTAATTTCAGCAAGTTTGGTTACTTGTTGCATGACTATTAACACAGCTGACTTTTTGTGTCAGTGCAATGTATATTTTTTTTTGTCCTGTTATTAACTTGTAAGCCCTAGTTAAATGGCCATTTATTTGTACAGCATCAGGAGTAAATTGAAGATAACTGGCTAAGACTGGAGTGTGGAATTTTGTACTATATTGCAGAATCCAATATCTGTTTTTTGGTGGTTATGTAAAAGGCCTGACGATTTACTATCTAGTGTGCAATCTGTGATATCTGAATGTTCATTGTATATTTGTCTCCAATGCAAAAAGGTAGAGTAACACAATTACAACAATACATGATGAAATGCAATAGTTCAGGTACTGAAGTTTTTTGGTTTTTTTTTTTTCTTTTTTTTTCATTTCAAATAAATACCTGCTATTTACCACCAAAAAGCTGGTTTGCATTTGTTGGAAAGGCTCAACCTTTGGAGCTGAACAGGTGGGAGTGGTAACTAATGGGCAACGCGTTTCTGTGTCGTCAGGAGGAGTAAATTCCTATTAATTCCTCAGAGTTTTGCTCTCTGGGTGTGAGGAGGGGCACCCGTGGTGATGCCCTGTGAAATCATGTCTTTGTTTATTCTTTTTTTTGCTTCCCAAGTGTCACTGTAGAGCGTGAAGGCAGCAGAATTTGATGGTGTGGAGAGGAACAGGCTGTACCCAGGTAGAGAAGGCAGAGAGGAAAGAATGCTTGAAGTCACGCTGGGTAAGGAGAGTGGAAGAGGAGGAAAAATCCAATTTAAATCTTCCCCGGGGAGAGAGTGACTACTAGAGCAGAACTTACCTGGTGAGAGACAGCTTAGCCTTCCCAAATCTTGAGATTTTTTACTAATTCTTGGACTGAGGGGAGACCTTCTCGCTCTCTCCAGCTCCCTGAAAGGAGGGTGTAGCCAGGGGGGGTCGGTCTCTTCTCCCAAGGAACAGGCGATGGGACAAGAGGAAACGGCCTCAAGTTGCACCAGGGGAGGTTCAGGTTGGAGATTAGGAAAAATGTTTACATGGAAAGGGTTATTAAGCCTTGGAATGGGCTGCCCAGGGAGGTGGTGGAGTCACCATCCCTGGAGATATTTCAGAAACGTGTAGAGGTGGCACTTCAGGGCATGTTATAGTGCCCAAGGTTGTTGGGTTGTATCTGTTCATGGTGTGTTTTGTGTTTGGTTTTTTTTGGTTGGTTGGTTGGTTGTTATGGTTGGACTCACTGATCTCAAAGGTCCCTTCCAACCATGAAGATTCTGTGATTCTGTGTTGGGGCGGGGAACCACCACGGTGCTGGTGGGACTCAGCCACCACCATGGGATATGAGTATACATACAAGAGCTGAGCAGCTCTGAGACATGGATTAGCAGCAAAGGGTGACAAAAAAAGGACTCTCTTTAGCCCCAAGGGGAAGGGCTGGGGCTCTGCTGCAGGACAAGGCTGCTCCTTTCAAAGGAGAGAGTAAAAGCAGGGTTGTGTTCAGCTCTAAAAGCAGTATTAATTAACATTACTTCTGCAGATGAGTTAAAACCCTCAGCTGTTATTTCTCCTTACCCTTTATTAAAATAATGTATTTAATTTTTATTATTCATACTTATCTTTCAGGATAACTGAAAAGTCCTGAATCCCTGCAGGAGCCAACTGGAATTCTTTAATTGAGGAAGCCCCACTTGTTTCTTTGCACTGTGTCACAGGATGACATGGCTCACCATCACGACTCTCCCTCTCCTGGGCTGCTTTCCTGGCTTCACAAAAGAATTATTATATTTTCTAGACTTCTTTTAGAGAGGGAGCTTTCTGATTTCTCGGTGTTGTCGTCTATCAAACTACAAAAGACAAAAATAGCAAGTTAGAAGACGTTGCCCTGGTGCAGCGAAGCCCATGGGCACCCAGAGAGGAGGTACTTTGTCCTGGTTATCGCTGGGTGAAGGATTTTTGGAGACAAAACCTTGGTTATCAGAAAGTTTTTATGGCCGGGGCTGAGGCCCAGGACTTACAGGACCTTCCTTGAGAGGTAGGAACTTTTCCAGCAGTTTGCAGCGGGGTGAAAGAAGAAAAAAATCCATTTTGTAGCGACACAACTTTAGGAGCCAATTCTTTTATTAAAAGATGTTTAAAGCATTCCAGTACAGACGTATCTGCCCCACTGTAGCTTTGAGTTGATGGAGACGAACAAAAACGTTTAAAGAAAAAAAAAAAAAGGCAAAATGGACACTTCTATAAAATGAAGTAGATCATGATGAATTACGGACGCTGTGATTACACCAAACACAAACATCAACCCCCAGAATCACACACAGTCCTAAGGCAAACTTTGTAGGCAATTGCACTTCAGTCTGTTGGGATTTCTGACACGCTGCTGCCCTGGGTGAAGAAGAGACACCCCCCTGGAGATCTCTGGAGCTTGGGACCCAAGGAGTGACCCAGAGCCTTGCTCCACCACCCGTTGGGCTCGTTGGGTGAGGGACCCATGGCCCTAGCAGTGCCCAGCTGGGTGTAAGAAGAATTAAACCTGTTTCACTGCTGCTGTTGTTTTGTGCTTCTCCCTTTCAGCTGGACATCCCAGTGCCTCCCACCACAGCACGTCCACCTGCTGAGACAGGACAAGGGACCTGACCCCGTGGGACCCAGCGGAAACCCCGCGGTGAGTCTGAGCTCCTCACACTCTGCATTTCCCCCCAGTGTGTAAAAAGCAGCAATATTGCCCATTTCTCTCCACACCCCTGTTTTCTCAACCACAAACTGTGCTCCGTGATTATTCTCCAACCCTGAGCTTTTCCAACAAAAGGAGGTTGCGCTGAGGGACCCCCCTGTATTAAATAACTGGTTGGATCTCATTGCCATTCCTGCTCACCTCCCAGAGAGACCAGCTCTCCTCAATCCAGGCTACAAATGACATTTTACTGAATTATCATCTCTACAAAGCAGGAAACCCCCCCCTTTCCAGGTGCCAGAAAGACTTGGAACTCCAGTTGCAGTCTCAACAGCTCTACCAGTAAAGCCTCTGGTAACACAAGGAACCCCCTGTCCCTTCCATACCCTCCAGCAAGTATCTAGCTGGACACTGGTTTCTGCTTTTCTGTCACCCACAGCCCCTGCAGAGTGAGAGAGATCACTGCTTCAGGGGGGATGTTCAGGCAAGAAAAAACTCTTACCACATCCTGTGGAGATCAGGCTCCATCCCTAAAAGGTAGGAAAAAAAAAAAAGCAAACACGCAAATGACATTTTACTCAATTATCTCTACAAAGCAGGAAACCCCCCCTTTCCAGGTGCCAGAAAGACTTGGAACTCCAGTTGCAGTCTCAACAGCTCTACCAGTAAAGCCTCTGGCAACACAAGGAACCCCCTGTCCCTTCCATACCCTCCAGCAAGTATCTAGCTGGACACTGGTTTCTGCTTTTCTGTCACCCACAGCCCCTGCAGAGTGAGAGAGATCACTGCTTCAGGGGGGATGTTCAGGCAAGAAAAAACTCTTACCACATCCTGTGGAGATCAGGCTCCATCCCTAAAAGGTAGGAAAAAAAAAAAAGCAAACACTTGCTATGGTTTGCTCAGTAGCCACCCTTAACGTTCAGTTACAGTCTGTAATAAACCAAAAATATTATTATTTTCGTCGAAAGAATCGATGCACGGAAAAGATGGGAGCTAGAGAGCAAACTGAGCAAACTTTCATTTCTTTCAAAGTGTGAGACACATCCAGTGATCCTTCAGTAACAACCCTCTCTGACAGGCAGCTGTTGCTGTTTGGACAATTTGCTCTTTGTCTTCGAGTTGAAAGGAGCTCTCTGCTGGGCAAGAGGATTTTGCTGGTCCCTGGGATGTAAAGCTGGTCGCTTGCGAAGCTGCTATGGGCAGCAGGAGGATTATTGACTAAATAGGAAAAAAAAAAACTAAAAGAACACCTTTTTTTCACAGCAGAGCTGTACCTAGCTCTGGTGGAGAACCCTATACCGAGGTGTGCTGGCCAGATGTTACCAAAGCACCTGCTGATTTGATCCCTCAATACAACAAACTGCTTCCATTTTTTAATAAACCAAAAAATATTATTATTTTCGTCGAAACAATCGATGCACAGAAAAGATGGGAGCTAGAGAGCAAACTGAGCAAACTTTCATTTCTTTCAAAGTGTGAGACACATCCATTGATCCTTCAATAACAGCCCTCTCTGACAGGCAGCTGTTGCTCTTTGGACAATTTGCTCTTTGTCTTCGAGTTGAAAGGAGCTCTCTGCTGGGCAAGAGGATTTTGCTGGTCCCTGGGATGTAAAGCTGGTTGCTTGCGAAGCTGCTATGGGCAGCAGGAGGATTATTGACTAAATAGGAAAAAAAAAAACCTAAAAGAACACCTTTTTTCACAGCAGAGCAGTACCTAGCTCTGGTGGAGAACCCTATGCCAAGGTGTGCTGGCCAGATGTTACCAAAGCACCTGCTGATTTGATCCCTCAATACAACAAACTGCTTCCATTTTCCCCAGCGTGGCTTTATTCCACCAACCTCACAGTCCATCCCCTCCAAATTCAGTGCCACACACCACTTATGTCCCACCAACACATAGACGTGTTGGCAAAGCTCACTCTGCCAAAACATCCCCAAACCTGAAAGGCAAAGGCAGGGACTTGTTCTGATACTCTTCAGCAAGAAGGGTCAAACGATGAAAAAATCCATCCGCCAGGAAACTGCAGGTTTCTCCCAACTTCTTGGAGTAGAAGAAGGTCTGGTGTGGTTGCCACTAAATCTTGGTAGGGAAAAAGCAGCCTTGTGGTTCAGGAGGCAGAGACCAACCGTCCTGGTTCTACAAAATGCTGTTCTTTTCAAGCTGGCACTCAAGAGTCTTCACGAAGGAAGGAATCCACACAAACCAGTGTGAAGGTACCTCTGCTCTTAACGGCAGGAGGAAGTGGCATGCTCCTGGGCCACTTGGCAAAGGATTTCATCATGGACTTGAGGAGGAGATTGAGAAAAGCAGAGTGAGGAGGCAGGGGACAACCTGTGCGTAAGGAATGCGTCTCTGCAATCTCCTGTCAGTTATTGATTGGCTTTTGCTTAGAGCAAAAGGGCTCATATCTTAGTCTTAAATACTGGTTAAGTCACTTCAGGACAATTAAGTGGTTCCACACCCCCTCACTGCACCCTGCTCTGAGCGGGGACGGGCCTGGATGACACCCACTTCTTTCTGTGATGATTGATTGTTTAAAGGCAGTAACAGCAACTGCCAATTCTTCTTTTATCTGATCATCTTCTGTTCTGCAAAGCTTTGTCACATCCCTTCCTTTATAAAGTTTAGAAGGAGTCATGGATGGATCCTTCCTCTGAGAGAATAACCACTGTTAGAGGAAATTTTTGTTCTCTATGCAACCAGATAGGCATAAACCACCAAATGCCCAAAAAAACCTCCAAGGGGAATTAAAACTGTCACTTCACGTTACACCTGGGGCAATGTTTAGAAGCTGCTCTAACTGCCAGGGTCGCTCCTCAGAGCAGCTGCTCTTCCTTTGCAGTGCTTCTCGTTAGCAGCCTGCATTGATTACCCTCTCTTCAGCTCGGCAAGTATCCAGCACCACTCAAAAAAAAAAAAAAATTAAAAAAAATCCACGTGTACTTGTCATGAACACCCCCAGTGCCCTTGGTATCTTCTGTCAGGATAGATGGCCAGCCAGAGCAGCATTTGGATCAGGGTGGTAGGAATGGCACTCCTCCAAATCCCTGCAGGGCCTCTCAAGCCTGTCTGACACTTGATATCAAAGCCAACCCCCTCTTGATATCAAAGCAACTCCCTCTCCAGAGCTCAGCCCTAACCCCTGGCTCTGCTGCCTGCTGGGGTTAACCCTCTGCCACCACCTCTCAGACCTGCTCTTTCAGAGAGGCATCTCTTTGGCAGGAGAAAGGCTGTCACAGACCAGGCTGCAGCACAAACTGGTCATGATGACATTCCCAGAGCCCATCTCTAAACCTCTGCCGGGTACAAACCTCTCCAGGGCTTGGCAGAAAGCCACCTTTTGCCATTTTTTTTGCATTTGTGGGCACCTTCAAACTCCCCACAGCCTGAGAACCCTCTCTGGCCTGCTAAGGACTCAAAGCGCCCCTCTGCAACCCAGGACCACGAGCAGCAAACCCTCTGACCTCAGGTGAAGGTTGAACCCCCAGCCCTGGGGAAAAATCTGGGGGAAAGAGAGAAGGGATTATTATTGTAAGCCAGTCCTGGAGGCCCTGGCCACAGCAGAGATTGCCATACACCACCTCACAAGATCTTTGTTGCTTCTAAAAATCAATGTACACGTTACGGACACCACATGATGGGACAAAGCTCTCAACACCCAACGCTGTCGGTACAACCCTGTGCTCTGCTGGGTGCTGTGGAAGAAGAAGGTCTGAAGGAGGCACGTTGGGACAGATCTTCACCTGCTGCCAACATGTCACCTTCCAGTTGGTGTCACAGCAGCCACAGGAGCTGGCTCAGAGCTCTGCTCCCCTCCCATGCCTCACTGCACACAGACTCCTTCCAGAAAGGGAAGAAGTGGAAATGCTTCCTTGAAGTACAAAACTACCTTCCGGTGCCTGAATATCTGACATCTACTAGAAACAATACCCCAAAACTTATAAAAATTCCCTTGTGCTGTTATACTGCTCTCTCCTTTCTCTAGCTTGCTTACTTTGGGCATTTTCACAGCTCCCTGTGTAACATGAATAGACACAGGAGAGGACAACTAACTGAAAGAAACCTTCAGCCGAGGGCAGGAATATCCTCATATATTTATGAAGAAATAAGCTCTCCTGTCTTCCACATCCAAAGAATTTTCATTAGTAAACTCTCTGAAATTAGCTGGGTTTCTTTTTTTTTAAAAAAAAAAAGAAAGAAATTCAAGTTGATGAGAATCTCTGGCTATCAAAAATATGCAGCTTTTTCCCTCCTCTGTGCTCCTGTCAAGCACTGGCACACCAAAGGCAAGTGCAAAGGGCTGCTGCGTGGTCCACAGAGACCCTACAGGCTTTGGACCCCATGGAGAAACATTCCCACCCGTCCAATGGCACGTGGCTCCAGCCTGCTCCATCTCCTTGGAGCTAGAGGATGAGAAGATGATGGTGGTGAGAGCCCAAAGCCCTGCAGAGCAGCACTGCCTCAGGAAGTTGTTCAGCTACGCTTAAATGCCACTGGCATCAGAACCTAAACACTTGGGAAACTTCTCCCTTATTTTTCATCTGCTTCTTCTGAAGCGCAGGGGAGTTTTGGCCGGAAGACAACAAACCTGCTTTTGGTCTACCTAAGAACACTGTGCCTTTGTTCCCCCGTGGATGAACATACAAAGAAGCCCAGCACGTGGCTCAGAGACTCAAGACTCACACAGCTGCCAGGGAACTAAGGGTCCTGGGTAACGCGAGCCGGTAGGAGACAATTGTGCAACATCTCCAGCCTTCAGTGAAAGCCCAGAGCCTCATCTAACGGGGCCTAAGGGATGTGCAGAGCTGCTGGGACTGCAAACCCAACCCAATAGCTGCCTCAATGCCAACTGGAATAATAAATAAACGCAGCAAAAGGCAACAGCTATAAGCAACGACGGGGCACGATGCACCGAGGGAACAGTGGCATCTTCTAGAACACCAGGAAGAGATGGACAAGAGACTGAGTCAACCTATGAACAGATGGATGTGTTCTCCTGTAGCACGCCAGTGTCCAGGTTGTGGCAGGAAAAGATAGCTGGGGGCAGGTCTTCACGCCCACCTCCCGCTGGAAGCAAAACTCCGGCTGAAGGAGAAGTTGATCTCGCTGTTTTTGTACTTCCCCCACGCTCCAAAGGGCACTATGACAACCGTGCTGTTGTCCTCGGTGCCAAACTGCATTGCCTGAGGAAAGAAACAAAATGGTCAGCATCATCATATAGGGAAGCCCTACAGAGGGACCTAGATAGATTGGATCACTGGGCCAAGATCAACGGCATGAGTTTCAACAAGGGCAAGTGCCAGGTCCTGCACTTGGGCCACACCAACCCCCTGCAGCGCTACAGGCTGGGGGAAGTGTGGCTGGAGCTGCCTGGAGGAAAGAGACCTGGGGGTTCTCATTGACAAACGGCTGAATATGAGCCGGCCGTGTGCCCAGGGGGGCAAGAAAGCCAATGGCATCCTGGCTTGTATCAAAAATAGTGTGACCAGCAGAAGTAGGGAGGTGATTGTCCCCCTGTACTCAGCACTGGTGAGGCCACACCTCGAGTGTTGTGTCCAGTTTTGGGCACCTCAATACAAGAGAGATCTCGAGGTGCTGGAGCGAGTGCAGAGGAGGGCAACGAAGCTGGGGAAGGGCCTAGAAGACAAATCATATGAAGAGCGGCTGAAGGAGCTGGGACTGTTTAGTTTGAGGAAGAGGAGGCTGAGGGGAGACCTCATCACTCTCTACAACTACTTGAAAGGACACTGTAGAGAGGTTGGGGCTGGTCTCTTCTCACAGGTAATTAACGATAGAACGAGAGGGAACGGCTTCAAGCTCCAACAGGGGAGGTTTAGACTGAACATGAGGAAGGAATTTTTCACAGAAAGAGTGGTCGGGCATTGGAACAGGCTGCCCAGGGAGGGGGTGGAGTCACCATCCCTGGATGTGTTTAAGGGCCGTTTAGATGTGGTGTTGGGGGATATGGTGTAGGGGAGGACTTTGTAGAGTAGGGGAGATGGTTGGACTCGATGATCCCAAGGGTCTCTTCCAACCTCAATGACTCTCTGACTCTCTCAATGATTCTATGATTCTATCATCTTGCTTGGAAAAACAAACCAAGCCTCTGCCTCCACATGGGACAGCGTTCCCCGAGATTTCCTCCCCCTTTCCCAGCCCTGATGCTGCGTTCTGGTATGCCCTAAAGCTTTCCATAGGATACGCCACCATCCAAAACCCTGCTTAGAAACCCAGGGGTGGAAGTTCTGTCTGTGCTGATGACATTTCACCACAGGAATGAATTGCAGTGATGGTCCCACACAGTTCAGAGGATTGTGAATTGAAACGATGCCTGGCAAGGATGTGGCAAGACCCAGGGTAAGGCAAAGGCAAGCTGGTGGGACTAGTGAAGGTCTCAACCAGCATAGCTCAATTCATACTTCAATGGTTGCATACTTGTTTTCGGTTTTTTAAAACCAAACCAACCAAAAAAAAAAAACCCAACAAGAAGCATTTGGTGCCAACAGAAGCCCTGGCATTACCTGCTCAGTGACAACATGGGCAGCCTCAGCAGGATCGTGGCACTGGTTAATGAAGTCACAGATCTCCTGGCTGTTCACAATGAAGTTAATCCCGTCTGTCGTCAGGACCAGGAAGCTGTCGTCTGCGTGATGCAACTGCAACAAAGGCACACGTGGAGTGAGTGCTGCAAGGCAAATTAATTGCCTTCATCTTTTTTACATTCCTTCATCTTTTACACAACTCTTTTTTTTTGGTGCTCTCCTGCTTTCTGTGCAAGGACTAAGTGGAACCCCCAAACCCTCAGCTAGCCAAAGTCTGCCCCTTGAATCCTCCAGCACATCCACCAGCCACACTGATTTGTGTTTCTTCTACTGGAGGAGAGCATCTTAAGGTGCTTCCAGTTCTAGGAAGCAGCCCTCTAAGTACACTGAGGCAAAAGACCAGATCCATACATTACCCAGTGAACAAAATGCTTCCTTAAACTGAGGATTTCAAGGAAGACACGGTAACACCGTGGTCATCTCCCAACACCCCTCAGGCCTAGTGGGTGGGGTTGAATTAGGACCAACTGAATATAAGCTCCCTGGGCCCTGAGAGGTGCATTGGGGAAAAGTAGCAGATAGAATATGAGCTGAGGAGAGCCTTCCTCTAAAAGTGAAGGCAACTGTGCTGCATACCTTTGGGATGGTTAATTTGTTTTCCGGATAATTACAGACCTAGGTAAGATGCATGCAACTGCCCCTTCCTCCTTCCTTCCTCCCAAGTTGCAAACCTCTACATAGTCTACTTTTTTTTGATGACAGCCCATCCATATCCCACCTAGTTCTTAGTGAGGGTTTTACATCAGCATTAACCTCAAAATTGTTCATTTGACCACAAGCCCCAAACAGACTAACACCTGTTGTATTTTGGATATCCCATGTTAGCTTTCTTCCCTCATCGTTTATTGCACTGTGATAAATGGGAATTAGAAGTTGACCTGATTGAATTTAGTATCAGTGCCCAATTCTTTTCTGTCCCACTAGCATTAATGTGAAATGACTTCAGAATTGGTCTCTGGTTCACCACAAATTAACAAGAAGGCTTAGCCCCCAGGCTTCACCTGGGCACACATCACGTGGGTACCACCACCTGGATCAAATGCCTATGATGCCCCTCAGTCCAAATGTTGCTGTCCCTGTTAACCAGCCCTTCTTTTACCTTCACCCTTTTTGTTTCTGGCTGGGCTATCACACCACTGTTTTTAAGATCCAAATCTCCTATGCTCCGCGTCATTGCAAGTCTACCATTCACATGAGGTTGTCCCAGACTGTTCCAGGCAACGAAGCCACCGCACTTCCTAATCCTGTCCAGAGGCACAAAAGAAAAAGCAAATTATGAGTTACTGCTTTACACTGTTACCTCGTCTGTATCTGCAATTTCTGTCACTAGCTACTGATGTGGAATGGGGTATGGAAGACCTAAGCTGGAAGAGTGAGGGTTGGCTTTTGAAGGGTTCTACACAAAGGATGGGGCTTGGTGGGCTGAGTCCTGACCTGGGAACCGTGGTGCACTTCTTCAGGTTTTGGCTCTAACTTGGCAGTTTTTGAGGAGTCTGAACCATGTGGTGATGGCTCTGTACCAAGTCCTAGCTGTGCTGATCCTACCGTTGGGACAGTTTACACTCATGCAGGGCTTTCCCCATCCCCAGTCCTCTAAATGGAACCAAACTAATGAACTGGAGCTGTGCCTCTTTCTGCCATCTCTGAGGTGGTCTCAGGGTGTTTATGTTCAATGTTTATGTTATGTTTATGTTTATGAGGAGAGACTGAGAGAGCTGGGACTCTTTAGTCTGGAGAAGAGAAGGCTGAGGGGAGACCTTATCAATGCTGACAAGTATCTCAAGGGAGGGTTGAAGGAGGAGGGAGCCAGACTCTTTTCAGTGGTTCCCAGTGAGAGGACGAGGGGCAACGGGCACAAGTTGGAACAGAAGAGGTTCCACTCAAATATGAGGAGAAACTTCTTCATGGTGAGGGTGACGGAGCCCTGGAACAGGCTGCCCAGGGAGGGTGTGGAGTCCCCTTCCTTGGAGATTTTCAAGACCCCCCTGGATGCTCCTGAGTAACATGCTCTAGCTCTAGGCAATCCTGCTTCAGCAGGGGAGTTGGACTAGATGATCTCTATGGTCCCTTCCAACTCTAAAAAATTCAGTGAAATTCAATGAAAACTCTCTGCTTTCTTCCAGGCCCAACCCAGCAGCAGACCCCAAGCACATCCTGACCAAGCCACGTCATCAACTGACAGGTACCTTTCTTTCTCCTCCTTTCTTTCTGGAGTATGGTCAATGGTGAGTTTCATAGCCTTTCCCTTTCGACACAGCAGGGCACGACTGTCTCCCACACTTGCCACAACCAGCTCGATACCATCCCGGAGCAGAGCCACTGTTGCAGTGGTCCCGGAGCTCATCAGACTTGCTATAAACATCATATCAAAGAGAGAGGTTTTAACACTGCCTCCAGGCATGGCACCATTTATAACAGCAACAGTTTCAAGCGGTAAAACGAAGACAACTTGTGCTCTACAGTACCGGCAAGTAACTGCTTTTAAATTTAAACTAAATCTATGTATATAAAAACAATTCAGCAGACATGCATGCATGTAGGAGGAGGGGGAGAGAGAGAGAGGAAGTGGAAAGGATAGGTGTTCGAATATAAAAAAATTTACAGCAGACATGCATGCATGTAGGAGTAGGGAGAGAGAGAGGAAGTGGAAAGGATAGGTGTTTCTGTGCAACAACATGGCTCCATGCAAAGAGGGCAAGTGGAATAGAAGCAGTGTGAGGTGCAGTGGCTTCCTTTCAGCTTGCAGCAAATAGTTTTTCTGTCCCACGGGGTTCACCTCAAATGACAGGGTTATTGTCCTTATCCCTGGGCACAGAGCTGATGGCTCTTCCCTTCTGTTAGCTGGTGAAGTGGGCCATTGAGTTATAGCAATTGTAGCTCCACATAGTTTACCAGAAGAGAAACACCAGGTTGCTCTTTTATAGCCCTATGTGGCATCCTCCCATCGCTGTCAGAGTTGTCACAATCTCCCTCCATTCCCCCCCCAGCCTTGGCCAAGAGAGAGAGGGTTCAGCCAGCAGGCTGCTGCCTTTTTTTCAGAAAGGGATGCTGCACCCTGCTACTGGTGTAAGTAAATCTAAAGGGCTTCTCATTTCAATTTCTACAATGCTCTAGTAAAAAAAAAAAAAAGTGCTTGAAAAGGAGAAGTGTGAGTCTGCCTGTTTCAGAAAAGAGACGCAGTTTTATCTGTGCTGGAGGAAATGCCAGAAGAACTGTCCACCTTTCCTCTTTTGTTTGCTTTTTTGAAAGGAGCAGTCCATTTTGCAGTTAGTATTTTTCCTTCCTGCAAATTATGCAAAGGTAAACCCGTGAGAGGTGCCTGGGAAACAGTAACTCCTCATGATTTTGAGCTATTACAGTAAAATGTCTGGCCAGAACAAGCTATTGCCCGGAGCACATTTAACACATTTGCATTCACAGCCAAGGCAAATTTCCTTGAAAGGTCCTCTGTAGGTCTCCTGCATTCTGGGATTTTCCCAGGTTTTGAAAGCAAGCCAATTTGAGAGGGGTTTGGGGCTAACTTGGGAATGAGAATCCCCCGTTATATTCCTGTTTTTCCATGACTAAAAGTTAAAAGACCTTTCCACCAGCACTTCTGCAGAGCTCGGCTACAACTCCATGTGCTCCTCCCTCTGTCCCTGCAGCCCTGACCCCGGGGAGGAGGGATGGATCTGAGAAAGGACAGAAGGTTGGAGCTCATCTCTGACCAGCAGAGACGTGGCACAACCCTCTGTGTAGTACAGGAAGAGAAATGGAAGTGCTCTGAAGATCTCTGTGATCTCTCTCCCCAACCCTGCCAGGTCTCAGCACCCCGTAAGTAAACTAGGGTTGGGAGTAAACCCAAGCGCACGACGCCCTGAGAGATGCATTGAGCCTTGTTGTGCAGTGAAAGCAGTGAGTTGATGAATCAAAAAAAAAAAAAAAAACCACAAAAAAAAAAACCCCTCACAAAACAGTCTAAACTAAGCTTGTGTTATCATTTAAAACAGGTATTATTACTGCAGGGAGGACTTGGTTTAGCTATACACTCAACCAACACGTCAGTCGTGAACATCAGCCATGGTGATCTAGGTCAAATCTTTGGACGATGCTATGGCTGCCATGCAGGTCATGATATTCAAAATTATTTAGATGCTTCTGACTGTGCAGGTAAGGATTGGCAACCAGTTTCTAATTTGAAGCAATGAGTAGTCCAGTGCAGGCTCACTTTGAGGCACACTATGTAAGTAAAATGCTAACAAGTAGCAGTGCGGTTAGAAATTTTAGAACCAGTAAAATACCTGTTTTTTAGCCAAGAGTTAAAAGAAGTGAAATGAAGAACCTACATAAAACTACCTTTTTTATTTCACAGAAAATACATTTTATCTAGACGTTAAAATTAATGCAGAACTGCCGCTACTCTCCCATTTCATTCCTTGGTTTTGGAACTCTGCTGACAAACATAAGGAGTTTCTGAAAAAGTTAAGATCCATAGTCTCTAATTCATAAATGACTGGAAACATCCGGACATTCATGTGAAATCTGCATCTTTCAAGTGCAAACTCTCAAAGGCAAAAGAGCCACTCTCACAAAATCAAAGGATGGAACTAAAGAAGTAGTCAAGATATTGTCCAGAATTGCAGTTGTGTTATCATAGTGACTTGAGCTCGAGTCAAACAGCACTCCTAGAAAAATAAGTGCTGCTCATGCTCTTGTGCTTGGATCCAATTTGTGATCTGGGTAGGGATGCAAGAACATGGATTGTGGCTGAACTACACGTTATCTGGTTTCTAGCAGAGCTCAAAACCACAGGAATGATGCGGGGTAACATTTCTAATGCTTTACTACAACTGCTGCTAGGTCGTTTAATAATATCGTTGCATCAGCATATATATATTGGTTTTAACAATTAAAAGAGTTTACTTCGGTTTCCTAACAATATCACTATAAAACTAAGATCTTTCAATAGGTTCTTAACACTCACTGGACAACTTTTACTGCAAGTCATCTCAACTAATGTGACAAAGAGGATGTGGGAACCTTCCAGTAGTCCAGGCTAGGAACCGCCGGACTCCTTCAACTGGGACAAAATTAAGCAGATCTCTCTTTCCACTGAAGCCCAGCATAAAGTGTCCAGGGCCTCCAGTTCTAGAGCTGCTGACCAGGTACAGTGTCTGCCACAAATAACACGCACACAGAGGCAAAGAGGAAATTCACCCAGGGACTTTGTTCATACAAAATAAACCTGCAACACTGGAGATGAAAGAATAAGGGCTGCAGAACAGGGGAAGCAGTCACTCTTGGGCTTGCCCTGCACTGTTCCTTTGCAGGTCATGTAGCAAAGTATACTTGAGGTTATCTTTGGCCACAGGTAAATCAGCCTTGGTATTTCTGGGGAATTGCCACTGTTCTCACCTTCTCAACTGGAATTGTGTGACAAAACCAGTTTAAATTCAGCCAAATTAAAAGCTTTTTTTTTTCTTTCCATGTGGAGGTAAGTAACCAAAGATTTGTTTCAATGCTATAGGGCCAGCTATCTCACATATGGCAAGAGTGGCCATGTTGAATTAGATCTTCAGTACAGAATATGGCCCGATCTGTCTCCTCAAGGTATCTTTTTTTTATATATATATATATTTTTATATAACACAAAAATGGGGAGTTCAAACTGGTGCCACCAAAAATGGGGCACTGAACAGGAGCATATGAATTATTCTGATCCACGGGAAAATATGCAAAACGAACACCCCTTTAATATTGTAATTAGTATCTTCTCACTGAATCAGGGCCCTTGGAGAAAAAGGCTGCCTTTGTTAACATTGATGGATTTATGAAATAGTGAAGTACACTTTCTGCAGCTCTCCCTTTTCCTCAGTGTTGCAGGTTAACATATTCAAAGAAATAAAAATCATATGTTCGAATGGCAACTTAAAAAAAAAAACAAAACACCACACCCCAAACCCACTACTTTTAAAATTTAGTTATTTTTAAATAACTTCTGCCGTTTGCTCAGCATAGTAAGATTCCAGGAGTCCCTTTTAAACATAGATACATTGGTTAATACTTGGCTATATTTTAATAAGATGGCTATCCCAGAAGTGAGTGGCCAATGTGATTAAAGTTGGATGCCCTGACCATGGGGGTTGATGGAAAGACTCCCTGTTGTTTTCTCTGAAGGATGGATCGCAGTGAGCAGCAGCACCAGCACTAGGCCAGGAGAGGGTTTGTCTTAATGCTTCTCCAGAGAGATGCTCAAATTTCCTCAAGCACACGATTTGCTTCCTTATTTCTGGCCTGGCTGAGAGCAAAGCTATTCAGCCTTTACGTTTCAGGTTTTATGGCTGGTCAAAAATATCAGAAAATTCTGTTCATCTGTGTTAATAGCTGTCCCAGGGATAACGACACATCTGTGGGACTTGAGCTTCCTTTACTGTGCCCTATACCTAAGTCTAGCAGTGATTTAAAACTGAAAGGATGTATTTGAATGTGTGGAAGTGAATGAAAGTGCAGTTTTGAAGCGATATCAAACACCATGCTTCGGGGCTTGGGCATATATTTAAGCTGTTAATGATCAGAAAAGATTTAGCTGGAGGACAGATTATCCCAGATCTGCCTGCAGGAAGTTTCTTATGCTCGTGTGTGAAACAACAGGTACAGATCACTGTCAGAGGGGGTACTGGACCAGTGGCCAGTGGGCCAGTACAGCACTCCAACAGACACAGCAGCAGTACCTGGAACACATACACAGACCTTTTTAATTTTTTTTAAATAGAAAGCTTACAGAAACTGTTAAGCTATGTATTTTCCATCTATAATTTCAAATATTCTGTAATTGTAAAGTTATCTACAAAGGGCCATGCCCTTGAAGACGTAGCTAAGTGCTCCAACAGGGCACATCTCTAGCCCTGTTAAATTTGTGCCGTTACATGAGGATTTTACCCTTTAAATAGTACTATAAACAATGCATCAAACCAAATCCATGCAATTTTGGCTACAGGGATTTGTCTCAGGATTTACATTCCTTCAGACACCCATTTTTGAAGCTGGTTGTGTGTTAGTTAAGACTTAGACATCCTGAACATGCACTGCTTTTTTTTGCAAATTCAGTGAAAGGAGTGAACCCTGGCAGGTTCTACTAGAACAAGACCAAGCTATTCTTTTCCACTTTGTCAGCTATGGCCACGTTTCAAGAGGAGGTCAGTCTTGGGGAGCATCCAGCATATCCCTGATACTCAACGTTACACAACCAGCCACCATTTTCAAGATACTTTAGCAACAGTCTTGCCTGTCACATCTGGGATAGCCACAATTGATTGAAAATTTTGCTGGCAAACTGGATCAGTTTGGAAGCAGGCTTCTAAAAAAAAGGCTACATGCCAAGCATTGACATTTTATGTAACTTTCAAAACAGCAGCAACAACAAAGATATCCACACCAAGCAGTCAACACAGTATTGAATTATTTTAACAACAGATATGCAAAAAGTTTCATTTGTTGAGAAATCCACACTTGTCTTTGCACCCTGTTACTCCACTCTGCCTTATAGCTGGATTTCGAGCTGGACAACCAGTAAAGAGCACTGGGCTCTTTTAGATCCCACTGGCTCCTGCCAAGAACTTGCAGGTTGCCAGCCTAACTGAGAAACACTGATTGCTTGCAAGAGTGTGACCCCTGTGCATTTTTGACAAGGCTTTTGCCCTCTATGTCGCTTGACCTCCAGCTTTTTTAATGAAGAGGGTAACTGTTATGTAAAATTCCTGGCATTTGCACAGTATTTCATTAAAGCGGCACCAGTTAGTTAAATGATAGGCAAAAAAAAATCCTATAAGCAGCTCCAAAATGCTCAGCTGGCTGCACAACCTGTATGTCAAATATTGCTGTCACCCGGTTCTGGAAGTCTCATCTACAAAATGCTACTATCAGAAACTGTTTTCGTAATAACAGAATAATGTACCAATTACAGTTCCCACTCCTCCTCCTCAAGGAGCTGCTCTGACACTTAACAGAGGTCACTTCCATGAGCCAAAGAGCTGTCCTACTAACAAAAGGGGTGGGGAGAGGGATAAATATATCAAATCTTCATGTGTGTGTGAAGATCAAAGGTCCTAATCCAGGCAAGCAGCTAAGCCTGTATTCAGACGCTCTCTTGAATTTGGGCTTTTAAAAATACATATATGCCAGGAGGCTATTGGATAAAAAGCACATCTGCTCTACTGATGTGTTTCTCATAAGCTCAGTTAAAACTCCCCCCATAGGCCAAAAGTGACTGGAGGGTTTTTTTACCACATCATTATTTTTTAAAGTATTTCAATATTAAAAAAAAATAAAATGGGACATAATGGGGAAATTGGCATGTAAGGGGGACATGAGCTCTATAGATTTAAACCTCCTTTTTTAAGGGCTGCATTTCAGGCCTTGAAACATTTTTTTCCTGATACCCCTTGTCATCTTAGCTTGTACCAGGTAAGAGGAAAGCTGTGTATCCCTCACAGTGATGCAAGTCAGGCTGCCTGGCCTGACAGGAAGTATTTGAGCCTACCAAGATTCATCTAGCAGTTAAAGTGCAGGAAGCCACTCTGTTACTTGATTGTATGCATTCATTGCTGAAGGAAAGTGTCTTGAGAATGTAGTATCACTTCAGTCTCTAGAGGGCTTGCTGCTTTCAAGTCTTTCTTGGTGAGAAAACTTTCAGAGTTTCTGTTCTTCTGCAAGGATCTCATTTTGCCAGCACCTGCACCAGCACTGGGACAGTTTTTTTGTTTGGTTTTGCTTCTTTTTTTTCTTCTTGTTGTGTGTTTTGTTTTTTTTTTTTAACTGGGTTTGTTTTAGTGGGTTTTTTTAAGACTGCCTAAACTGCCTCTTAAAATTGTATATCTCAGGGCTGAGGAAACTCCTGTGACACAAGTGGGATAGGGAGCTCTATCTCCCTTCCCAAGTCACTCCCTGTAACCTCCCATTGCTGGAACTGTAACTTCAGATGAACTTAATCTCTAGACAGACATGCGAGAACTTGATTAACAGCCAGGACTAAGGAATCTAAAAGGGCTGGTGCCAGCCTTACCACAGCCAGCCTTGTTTTCCTCTTCACTGCTTTTTTGCCTTTCACACTCAGCTACTCCTGTGACTCTGTTCGTGCAGAAGCAATATCAATCGTATTAATTTTGGCTTACGTGCCTCCTCAGGTGCAGCCATCAAGTTAGAAAGGGAAACTTGTGATACTGTTGCTTTTAACCCACAGGAATAACAGCTTTATAAAAAAAAAAACACACCACAACCAACCAACCAAACTCACTCCCCAACAACAACAACAAAAATCAAACACCAAAAACCCCAACAAATAAAACCTAAACCATACTTGCTCACACAGCAAAGTTACGCTCCTTGCAAATCTAAATCACTATGCTAACTTGACAAACACTTTCCTTGACAGGATCATGTTAAGAAAAATTAATTGATGATTATGCTAACATTCAGATTAATAATTTCCCCAGTAAACTTAATTTAGACTTTTTATAGTTTTTTCATTTTAAGGAGGTAAAGCGCAATTGTTTCATTTGCAGTAAGCGATCAGAGCAAAATCCTATGTTAAGTAAAACTGTTTTCAAGCATTTTTCTGGACATTTTACTACAAAACTACTGAGCAAATAAGAAAAACCATATTCTCCACACCCATATGAATATTTTTTTTACCTACCATCAGCAGAGAGATTAGCATGCCTTTCATATGCTTTGTTTATTTCTAGAAAAGCTTTGGTCAAAACATTCTCCAAGTTCTCCTCCTGAGCAAGAAATTCTCTGGAAACAAACAAGCAAAAAAAAGATTAAGCTCCTTTCCATGCAATATACAACTTGATCAAGTTCTTTGATAACCTTATCTTCTCCCTGCATGCACTGAATAACGCTGAGATTCAGCGAAAAGGTAATATAATTTTACTAATGACCTGCAGTGGAAACATAATCCTGTAATTCTCTAAAGAGATAAAATTCCTTTTCCAACACGCAGGGATGTGACACAGAGATACAGAAGAGTGTAACGAAGCCATAGGTTGTGCTATCACAGCGACCTCATCTGAAAACAGTCCATGCACCCTCTCTCTGTGTTCCCAGCCCTTTCCTAGAAGGTGGGTACAATCATATTTTCCTCTCTTGTCCTTCCGGGCTTGCTCAACAGGGCAGACACCCTACAGAATAAGCAGTTCACAGCACATCTGATCTAACAGACTCCAGTCTGGTGTTCCCACTGTCCCGTTGAGCTAGGTGGCTCTATAACCTGGGAGGATTAGCGACAATGTGTGACCCACAGCTTCCCTCCCAGTCCTAAGGAAGGAATCTCTCCTGTAGCTCAATCATAGAATCATAGAATTGTCCAGGCTGGAAGGGACCTCCAAAGGCCATCTAGTCCGACCCCCCCGCAGTCAGCAGGGACACCCCCAACCAGACCAGGTTGCCCAGGGCCTCATCGAGCCTCACCTTGAATATCTCCAGGGATGGGGCCTCAACCACCTCCCTGGGCAACCTGTTCCAGTGCTCCACCACCCTCACAGTGAAGAACCCCCTCCTAATCTCCAATCTAAATCTGTTCCCCTCCAGCTTGAAGCCATTGCCCCTCGTCCTGTCACTGCAGGCCTTTCTAAACAGGCTCTCCCCAGCCTTCCTGTAGGCTCCCTTCAGGTACTGGAAGGCTGCTATTAGGTCTCCCCGGAGCCTCCTCTTCTCCAGGCTGAACAACCCCAGCTCCCTCAGCCTGTCCTCATAGCAGAGGTGCTCCATCCCCCTGATCATCCTTGTGGCCCTCCTCTGGACCTGCTCCATCAGGTCCATGTCCTTCTTATATTGAGGGCTCCAGACCTGCACACAATACTCCAGGTGAGGTCTCACCAGAGCAGAGTAAAGTGGCAGAATCCCCTCTCTGGACCTGCTGGCAACGCTTCTTTTGATGCAGCCCAGGATGGGATTGGCCTTCTGGGCTGCAGCTGCCCACTGCCTGCTCATGTCCAGCTTCTCCTCCACCAGCACCCCCAAGTCCCATTCGACACGCCTTCCCTTGACGCACACTTACTTAATATATTTTTCCATGTACTTATCACAGAAGTCTGCCGCTGCTGCCCCGCCATGTCCATCATAAACCGCAAAGTACAGCACATCCTCCGTCAGCTGAGCGTAATCGAACCGGTCTTCGTTCTCCTTACGCTTCCCGATGTGGCTGGCGCAGCCCACCTTGGCCAGGCTGACTTTGGGGATGGGCTTGCCATACTTGATGCTGGGTGGGAGGAGGATGGGTTCGTCGATGCGATTGTCCCAGATGCCAAAGGTGTCCCAGGTGGTGGGTCGCCCGCTCCCATCCGAATCGAAGCGGGAGGCGCGGCGCTCGGAGGTGGAGCTGTAGGACGCGGCGGCGGTGGGACGCTTCTCCTCTTGCAAGAGGCGGGACGTCAGCACGGCTCTCCTCCTCACTTGGTACCCTCCGTTTCGTACCAAATTAATTAAGGTAGCTGTTGACATAACTCGTCTTCGCGATAAAAGATCAGCAAGACAAGATACGCGGCTGCTGGAGAGCGTCTTTGAGGAGAACAATGAGAAGCCTGATCAGGAAACAAGAAGAGCAGGAAGGGGAATTTTCAGTGACATCATTGAGGAAGCCATGTCACCCGCGGAGCACAGAAGAAACTACAGAGGGATCTGCATGACTCACCCAGAAACAATCCCACACAGACCAGCCCACGTCTAACGGGGAGTACTGCAGACTGCTCAGGGTAAGGCATTTTTGAGAGCCACCTGCATAACGATATCCCAGATTTGGGAAGGTTGAAGAGGTTGCCATGGAGCAAACGAGACTGATAATGACTTTGCTCTATGTCTGCTAAAATATTCATATGTGAAAATACGAGGTCAACCTCATTTTCACGACCTATCATGCATGCTCTTCAAACAATTGCTGAAACATCTGCACTGTGGCTCCTGGGGGTGGGGGGGGAAGGTGGGAGAAATATATTTGCTTAGATTTTTAAAGTTTTTTCACCTGCACGATACTCGGTTCTGCCATTGAACAATACTTTTCAACACAGGCCTGTGAAATGAATTGTGATTTTTCTTAGGCCATCTAAGAAAGACCACTAAGAATGTATCCATGGGCATACACAATTGCACATGCAAACTTCCCAACCAAAAAAAAAAACACTGCATGCAGCTTTTTGCTGTTTTGTCTGGCCTCAAGTTCTGTGCCACCTACCCCTGAAATGGGCTCCCTTGGCTAACACAGGCAAGCAAGATCTTCTACTGGCTTCTCAGGTCTCTTTTCTCGCTCAGATAAATTAAACACACCACTCGGCTCAGCACAGATAAAAATTCACTAACGATGATTCATGTAGCATGCTTAAAAATGTGGAAAGATTGGCTTATGTAACCTTTTGTAGAGTAACACCCGACTTGATGCAAGTCCAACAGTCTGGGATGCAGTTTGTATTAAGTCCACGTTGTCACACTGGAATAAATTGAACTGGACCATCAGATCACTGTAACCAACCACACTAAATTTTAAGTGAGGGATTTCTAAGCTAATTACTCTAAGTTTGCTGAGAGAAAAATGAGTCAAAAGAATTATATGCCATAATACAGGAATTAGAAATATGCAGGCTCACGATGAATGTCAAAAAAAAAGAAAAAAAAAAGATGGCAGGGTCGTCTGACACAATCGAGCAGCAAAGAGCAACACATGTACCCCAGAGACACTGTAATCCTGGGCTGGAGCGCCTTGCCGTTGTACTTTCCCCATGCCAATCATAATTGCATCTGTAAATCTGAAATATTATTAAAACTGCTTTTCTAAATAAGCTACTAGACAAAATCCAGGCCCCAGCAAAAACACACAGTCAATGGTAACTTAGCAAGTGGTTGGTTTTAGTAGAAAATAGCTGTAACATGAGCTTTCTAGAAGCCTCCATAAAATTTGTCCCTCACAGCTCAAAGCACGTTGCTTTAGATGCTCTTGGTTTACCTTTCATGCAATTCTGAGATGAAGAAAGATTTCTTAACTTAGACTAAATGTCAATTTGATAAATGCCTGAATGTGCTGGGAATTGCTGGTGTTGCATCAGACAAATGGGGGCTAGGCCACCAGGTGAGTGGAACTGACCACTTGGAATTTTAAGATTTCTCCATTTTTTTCTCCAACTGATTTACTTTCTTGGGTTGCTTTTTCTTTTCTGTTATCCTAGACTCGTAACAGCAGCATGTTAACTTCCTTCTGTGAAACACAGCATGAACAAATTGAAAGCCTGCCAATTAACTAAATCCACACTTGGGTTTCACTTCCGTCAGCTTTAAAAGGAGAACATGAAGTGTTAGCTATATTTAGGTTTCTCAGCATCCACAGCATGAATCAGAGGATTAATCCAAAATTCCAAGCTAATTAATGCATTTGTTCCCTAATCAAAATCAACCCTCAAAAGGCCCTTTTTTTTTTTTCCAGGCAAGTATAAATACTTACAAGGGTTTGGCTTTTCAAGTGTCTCTGCAAGGCAAGAGTAGGAACCTGATCTTTAGTTTCTGTGATGTAAATAGTTATGCTTTCAGTTGGACATACAGCAGTCTGCACTTTCCTGAATGGTATGTCTGCAAACACAGGGTGAGCCTATTTGGACAAAACAAGACCGAGGTATTGGAAAGAGGGGCACTGGTGTTAAAGCCAAAGTCCAAGACAGACAGTTGCAGATTTGAGGTGCTCCACTTGATCCTGTTAATCTGCAGATGTTTAAAAGAAATAGCTCCTGGAGACAGACACTGAAATACGATGCTTAAAGCCAATGAAGTGAGCAATTAAACCTGCTTCTTGGCAGGTGGAAATTTTTCAGACTGTGAGAAGGGGGGGGGGGGGGGGGGGA